AAAAATATCTCTCCCAGTCTGAGACTATTTTCATTGCCATTTCTTTGGACATGAATCTTTATGACAATTTTAAGAACATTTTTCTTTAAATGTTTTTTACATGTGACTTAATAATAGTTTGCCCAGTCCAAGGCAATATTGTCTCTATCTTTTCCTGAAAGGTTTATAATTATATGTAATGCTAACTTTGATGTTAAAAGTAAACCTAAAGTTATCCTTTTATAGCCAAAATTCAATTATGTTAGAATTAGTCATTGGAAAGATTAACATTTCTCCTTTTGAATTACCTTGACTCCTTTTTAATAAAGCAGTTGACAAAGCTAGTTCTTATCTAGGAAAAAAAAAATCTATTTTGAAAATCCCAAAGTCCATTCCTTCAAAAAGAATTGGGAATACTAGTAAAAACAGGCACAATCAACATCTCCAGGATTCAGAAAAATTGCCAAAGTCTTACAGCAATTTGAGCATTTTTTTTCAAATATAAAGAGCAGTTGATGCTAGAAGAGCAAGAATGTTGATGGGTTATGTCATTCTGTACGCTGTGAATATATGTTGCTCTGATTGGTTGATAAATAAAGCTGTTTGGCCAATGGTGAGGCAGAATAAGTTTAGGTGGGACATTCCAATTAGAAAGAGAGGAAGGAGAAAGGCAGAGCTGGGCAGATGCTGACAGCCGCCACCAGAAGAAGCAAGATGTAAAGTACTGGTAAGCCACAAGCCACATGGTGAAGTATAGATTTATAGAAATGGGTTAATTTAAGATGTAAGAGCTAGCTAGTGAGAAGCCTGAGCCAAGCAGTTATAATTAACATTAAGCCTCTGTGTGTTTACTTGGGGGATGCAAGTGGAAGAGATTTGTCCCAACTGCTGGCCAGATGGAACACAAGAAAACATTAGACTACATTTGGTGCCCAACATGTTGGCTCGAGTTTCCACCTGAAACCTGAGAATGCTTAGTAAGTGATTCTAAACGGAGCCAAAACCAGCTTTCTACTTCATGTCTCATGCAGGCCGCTAGACACCACAACATTCAGGCTTGAGCACAGCATGGCAGATTCCTGCCATGGTACACAATGGCATCTCCAAGCCGCACACTGCATGGCAGATTTAGCTTTTGCTAGTACAGGAAGAAAAAAAGAAAAAGAGGCTTCTGGGCTACATGGTGCTTAATGGACGCATAGACCCACTGCTTCTGAGAGTTGATGGTACGTACACATGGCCCAGAGCTGGAAGTGAATTACCTTTGCCATGTTAAAAAGCAGAAATGGGCAGAGTCAGCAGCCAAGGCTGCTGGTTTTTGTCCTAGCCATACACTTTAGCATTTTAAAGTCTCTCCTGGTCAGAGAAGGATTATAGATTCACAATAAGGCAGATTCAAATGGAATAAGACTTTAAACAGTTTACAATGTGTGTAAAAATGTATGCAGGCTTGAAAAAAAGAGGAAAAGGATGATAGACAGTTAATAAAGAAATACAGTTTTTAAAAAATAAAGTATTTAAATAGACAGCAAAAGTAATATAAAAATAAGCCACGTAAAGATGGAAATCACACAGACAGTGTGGATTATATTGTCTTTGGGATTTTTTCCTGCAGAGAAACATCTGATTGTAAAAGCTGCTGAGTTAAATCAATATGTATATTTTAAAGGTATCTTAACTTCAAAATTTATGTCTAAGAAGGTGTTGCTTTGAATAAGAGGTTCTGCTTTTGTTTCCACAGAATATGAGATCCTATGGATTTGTTCCAGGTTAAGATGGATCAGATTTGATCAAGCCAGACCTCCTGAACTTTAACAGATGGTACCTATCAACAAAGGTTATAGCTAGTCTTCCCAGGACTTGACCATTATCTCGAATTTTCTCAGGATCCTCATAAGACAACCAGCACCCCCTGTCAGCAGGAAGTAGCCTAGAACACTAAGTCCACATTTCCAAATAATAGATTATGGATGTTTGTCTTTGTTTAGGTTGTTGGTTACAAATTGTTATTGGTCATAGTCAATCTCTTTCTAAAAGAAGAAAGGGGAATATGATATAGAAATATAGGATATAGATATGATAGGATAAAAGGGTGGATTGTTGAACTTTAAAGAGCAACTTGTTTTACATTGGTATAGATTTTAGTTTATTGATACAAATTTAAAGTTAATTTTGTTATACTGTATGTATATTTCTACTCGTTTCATGTATTATGTTTGTGCAGCTCATTTAAATTGTAATGGATAATTAAGAAATACAGATTAATAATTAGTCTTCTATGATAGTCAAATTTATAGTCATGTTAAGTTTTCTAGGTAATTCAATTAGGTAGGTAAATTTCAAACATTTCAAAGAACTACAGAATATGGCATTTAAAATGTTTTTAAAACTTAGACTTTCTGGGCAGTGAGACATGTCTGCTCCTGGCAGCACCGATTTACTTCAAAGAGAAAGATGGGCGTCGAAGACACTCCATATGGAGTTTATCTTCTTGGCAAAAATAGCCATTTGGGCAAGAAACTGTTCTTGCCTGAACTGCTTGACAAAACGTTGTATCAGCTGGACATGCAGGACCCATAGGAAGGTGACCACTGAACTTTACAAGGTGAGATGGTCCTTCAGGTTCCTGCTTCACAGAAGAAACTGCCAGACATTCTACAAGACACAGAGAGAAGCGACTGAGAGACTCTAGGCCTCTAGGCTGAAGAATGGATGGCCCAACATTGTAGAACAATTTTGGGTAACTGTCCTGGTAGCCAGCTGTCTCTGTCATTCTAGATTTTTGAAAGTTGCTTACAATGCTCTGTTTACTTGGGTAATATTATATCCTTCTGAAGTCTTTGATGTAGTTGAAGACTAGATAGTTATAATTATGGTTTCCCTTGGTAATGATAAGAGATAAGGTAGATAAGAAACCCTTGACTCACAAATACAGGATAAGAAACCTGCTTTAATTTTGCCAAATACAAATAGACTAGATATTATAACTATAATTCTTGCTTGATAACTGGTTTGTTACATGTAATTTTACTATTTGGAAGTTAAAACCTTCCTTTTGAATAGAAAAAAAGGGGAAATGATGATGTCATTCTGTATGCTGTGAATATGTATTGCTGATTGGTTGATAAATAAAGCTGTTTGGCCAATGGTGAGGCAGAATAAGGTTAGGTGAGACATTCCAACTAGAGAGAGAGAGGAAGGAGAAAGGCAGAGCTGGGCAGATGCTGCCAGCTGCCACCAGAAGAAGCAAGATGTAAAGTACCAGTAAGCCACAAGCCACGTGGCAAAGTACAGATTTATAGAAATGGGTTAATTTAAGATTAAGAGCTAACTAGAGAGAAGCCTGAGCCAAGCAGTTATAATTAACATTAAGCCTCTGTGTGTTTACTTAGGGGACACAGTGGAAGAGATTTGTCATGACCGCTGGCCAGCCGGGACACAGGAAAACTTCAGACTACAGAATGTTTTTTAATGGAAAAATCACAGCAAGGAGACTGGTTTCAAAGCAGATAGCCTATATTATCTCAAAGAGGAAGTAACAGGTTTAAAATTTACTACAAGGATTTAGCAGTGTATATCCACTGGCAGGAGGAACCAGTAAACTTGAAGATGTTAATGAAATTATCCACTCCACAGGGCATAAGTGGGTGAAGAAAACTGAGCAGAGCTCCAAAGGCTTGTGTGTGACAAAAAAACCCAGCTCTCTAAAAAGGCAGCCATTTTACTGTGAAATGTGAAAGTCACTGCATGTACTTGTATAGTTATAGGACAGTCATACATAGTATATTTACCAAAAATACTGGCTGGTGCATCAGGGAGCTGGCAGCAGAAAGTGGGGGAAATGTGTTTGAGATCTCAGGACATGCTTAGCTTCTGGGTTGATATTAGTTACTGGTTTGCTAATACACCTAAGCTTTACACCTGGTAGTAGCTACAAAGGTAACTATTAAAACAGATAAAAATAATTTCAGTTCTGGGTCAGAAACATTCCAAGTCTCCATGATCAACCAGTTAACTTGGTCTACAAACTACAACTCCCAAAACAACTTGATGTGACTGAAATTTACACTTATACAGTATAGTCAGTCAGTGGCATCATAACTGCCAAGACATCAGCAAACCAAGTGATTTCCTTTAGTTAGGCCACCACAATATTCTACAGTTGAGAAGTTAAGTCCTATAATAGTTTGTGAGGTTTCCTGGGTATCACCTAAAGTGAGACAGGTCTTTCACCTTGCCCCTGTCCCTATCCTTTTATATCTGGAACATTTCAATGGTCATGTAATCATTAGTTACTGATCAGTCAGCAACAGCAACAGAGCTGAACTTTCCCAAGACATGTTTCGAGAATATGGGACACCTGTGCTTTTCTACAACCCATTTACAGATGACAAACACAGGTTAGGCATGGCTAGGGTGATGGACACAGTATACAATATGAAATGGCTTTACACAAGAGACTCCTAGGCTAGAAGCTCACAGCTGATGGGTTCAAATGTAATTTCTGGGACCCGTTTTTTACTGTTCAGCTGTACCAAAGGGGCACATGAAGCTGTGGGGTCACAGGGCTAGGGAGAGCATGCTTGTATTTTCCATATGCAAGCTCAGTGCTATTCACATCCAGTTGGCCAGAAATTACATGGTTCTGCCTGCCACCTAGTCACAGGAGGTCCAAACCCCAAGGTAATGTAATAAGTTATTAATGAAGTAATTATATTAAGGAAATTATTAATAAAGGGATAATCCAAGAATGGATTTTGAGATTAGTCCTCAATATACCTAAAATTATATACCTAGAAATATTCTGGAGTCCACATTAACAAAATACATCTACATTCTAGTGGCACAACTGGAGTCAGAGGACACACAAAAATCACTTTTATACACCTTGTTCACACAAATAAAATGGACTTGAATTCATGCAATTTTGCTTACCAGTCTAAGTGGGTTGGGTTTAGTCCTTTAGTAAAATGGGAAATAAACACGCACTTGTAGCCACTAAAAACACCACCAACAACTGATACAGAAGCAGAAGTTTATTTACTCAAAACATTTCACAATTATATTGACAATCATTTATTTAAAATAATATTCTAAATACTTACAAAAATAAATCAAGTATTGCGTCTATTTTTCAAGTATGACAGTATTTGTCATAGAAAATAGAAAGGACCTTTTTATAAACTAAACACTGTACTGAGACTTCCTCAAATTCAATAACTACACACTATTTCCTCTGATGATTTGTGCTTTATAAGTGTCCAAACTATTTCTGTGCAATAAACAAGTTCACAATAAGACTGTATGTATAACAAGCCATATACATTTATTTTTACACAAAGTGACACTACTCTGGCCTAAATCACTGTCACTCCCAAAGGCCAGATGTACATTACACAAAAGTAGGTGTATTTGTGAAGTGTTTAACATCCAGTCATCAACAACCTACCAGATCTTACTAAGGGATACTCTGCTAAAGGATGCTAGGCAAGGTATTTTTAACTTACACTAAATCATTAGTCTTAAGCACTGGAAAAAAAAAGAGTAAACTTCAAATATTTCTCAATACATTAAGTTAGTTTCCAAGATAAACAATTTGTCATAATTATATCCAAAAAGAGAAAGGAATATCAATCCAAGGACAACCGCTTGAAATTCAAAATTGTTTCTAACTTTATAACCACTGGGACATAAATTTTTGTCAATTCCAAGTTTATACATTCAATCCTCCCTTGCAACACATTTGTAGAATTATGGTTCCAGATGAAACACGTATGCTTTATACCTGGCAGACACTGGTCTCACTGCATGAACCACACAGGGAAAGAATCACCCTGATCACTGCCTCAATTTCTGTGATTAGTCTCAATTATATAGAACTTTACATAGTTTTGTATAAACATGTATCAAATGTTTGAAATTCTACTTAAAACTAGAAAAATCAGAAAATTTGCCTTTTCTTTATTAAGAAAAGAAAACTTATCCTTATGTCCTTATTTATGCTACATTAATTATTTAGAAATTTATGAACAATTACACTAGAAACATTAATTTATTGAAGTTCATCTTTTATAGTAAGTTCCATTAAAAGAGAACTTGTAAAATCTCAATTATAAGCAAATACAAACACTAACATCAATATCTTCATTAACAAAAATATACCCAAATGCCACAATTTTTAGAAAATTTTAAACAGCATGCTAAAGTATTTTCCAAAGTCTTATTTCACTAAAAGACACAGGCAAGCAGACACCATAAGAACATACAAAAATGCAAACCAACAGTTTAAATGCACAAAGCATCAAAATCTAAGAGGTAGTCAACAGAAGGAACCCTGATAAAACAAAATATCCTGGCAGATGCCGCTAATCTCAAAACCCCAAATCACTGTGAAATTCTTGTGTTGTTAAGTGGTTAAAAAATCACTGGGCAAGGATTTAAAGGCAGTTATCTACATGAGTTAACACTTCAAATAGAACAATACTCATATTTATGAAGGACTAAGAATAAAGTGTATTCCACAGCTCTACAGCCCGCCAGCTTAATCTGGCTCACACCCATTTTGTTGACATATTAGCATCCCTCCTTTCATGCTGAGGGGAGTGGTGAGGAGCTGACCCATCAGGGATCATGCAGCCCACAAGCACACTCCCTCACAGAATGCCTGCTCACGTTCAGTGTATACACAATGCTGCGACATTTGCGTTGCTGCACTCTTGTCACCATCTGACTCTTCTCTAGATATGAGATGAATTATTCTCACTTCTGTAGTCTAAGGATCAAAGAATTTTCCCAAGTTACCAAAAACCAAGCTCTGCTGTGACACTGCATCACACCAGAACTCTCAACAATGATGAAAACGTGGCTGCTATGTGTTGGAAATGTGTCTGACACAAGAATGAACCACTTGTGGCTACATCAAGCAATACTGATTTAACAACTAATATTCCAAAGTGTGACTTTAAAAAGTGACCCCAAATTAGAAAGTAATGTCTCTGAAAAGAACAACCCTGGGCAGAAATGAACTGAATGCCACAAATCCAGCTCCAGAAACTCCTTAAGAGGTAAGCAGAAACCACACTGGTCCTAAGCTGTTCCATCATTGTTTCTTTACAGAAATAAAGCAAAATTATACCCTTCTTTGAAAACAAAGGCCACAACAATTTCATGCTCAAAAGCATATGGATATTTCAACATGTATTCTTCTAGTTTGTTTTCCAACAGAAAGGTACCTCTTAGAAATACCAGTTTATTTCCCACCTTACCATTTCAGTCAAGCCCTCTTCATTCACAGCAGTACATGTACAAACTGAGATACAACTCAGAGAAACTGCAAATGTCTACTCAGTCGCTTTTACAAGACAAAGTCATTCCAACAGTAAAGGCTTCCACGCGTTATTGTGGATCCTCTTGAGGGCAGAATTAGCAAGTAGAGGAAAGCTTTGTACACACCAGGTCAAAGAAATTACCTTGCACAGTTCTTATCTACATGCCTTACTGGAGGCTGCTTCCCATAAAGCAAATCTAGATATATTACTAAATGACAAACTATTACTTTTTCTAACTTAACTGACTTGCTGTTACAACTGAAAGCATAAAGCTGGAATATGCAGTTGCTTTCCCACACATGATGCCATCTCAAGACAAATACTTGTTTTTATCACACTTCCAAGTACTCAAAAGTGCTGCCCAGGGACAGAGCTGATTTTGTATTTTGTTTTCGGAGTAAACTTAAATGTTAACTTGATACATTTTGACATAAAAATAGTTGATACCCAGGTTAGGAACGTAGCCAGTTGGTAGATGGCTTGACCTAAGTGCAGGTTTTGATCCCCAGCACTGTATCAACCCGCTATGGTGGCACACAACTATTAATCCCAGCATGCAGGAAGTGAGGGAAGGACTGATCAGATGGTAAGGTCATCCTTGAATATGCTGTAAATTCAGTGCCAGTTTGGGGTATAGGAGACCCTATCTCAAAACAAAATCCAAACAAAACTAGCTGCTACCAAGCATCTTAACCTTTGTTTTCCATCTGGTAGTTTCTTGGGGTACAAAACATTTTGAGGCACTTCTGTTCGTGTTTGCTTTGTGGACTAGTCAGATGCTGCGGCTGGGACTTTAACAGAGAGATTTCTCCGGGTGCTGGTGATGTGCCGCTGCTGTGCTAAGAATGACCGCGCTGGAGCCCCCGCACCGGCGTCTTTGCAAGCACCAGTGCCGCTCACAAGCCGAGACTCCATGCCCAGTTTCTGAAACGCCAGGCTCTGAGTAAAGAAATAGACAAATAAGGAACATGCGAAAGCAGTGCAATTATTACAGCAATCCTAGCAGGCTAATGGTTTCCTGATCAGCAGAGAAAAAAATTAAGGATTCCAAAGCCGATTCTTCTATGTCTGACAACACTAGGAAGAAGACACTAAAATAACTGCCTCTATTTCAATCCTCTAAATTTTAAACCATTAAAAACAGTGGCCTAAAACAACATGCCAGAGCAAAGTTTAATTATAACAAGAAAAAATTCCAAGGCAATTCTGTGTGTGTGTTAGAAGCATTGCTATACCAATTGGACAGACACATCACACAGAGGAGCTTAGCAAACAGATCTGGAAGGTGGCAGCTGGATATATCTATGGCCTCACGGACAAAGTACTCTAGTTTAGGCTACTGGTTTTCTGATGAGAGAAGGTATTTCTCTATTACTGGATCTCATAACACAACTGTACTGTATTAATATAAAACATATGTCCTTCTATTATTCTGGTCAAGGAAGTGATCAATAGAGCTTAATCTTACTCATTGCTGAAACACAACATACCTTGTTATACCAGGCAGAAACAATGAGTTTTTCCTCATAATCACGGAATTTTGCTACTTTACATTCACTCTGAAAAAGAAAATAATGATTAAGACAATTAAAATATCAGAAATTGCCCCAAATTACTAAAAACCAAGTAATTTCTTTACTATCTCACTGCCAGAAAAATGCATTCGTGACGTACACAAATTAGTCAAAATAAAGGAGTGAATTATGCAGAATACAATCAAAATATCTTTAGCAAAGACAACGAATGTGAGTAATCTTCATTTTAGCAAAGTTACTTAGAAACAGCAACTAACTTACAGACACACACACACACACACACACACACACACACACACACACACCCTTAGAGATTGATTTCCTGTGCTACTAATTCCCATGTCTTGAGACAAAAGCAACTGGTTGAAATATCAACATGGTGCTGTACCTATGGAGGAGTTGAAACCAAGGAAAAAAGACTCAGTAAACAAAGTGCTAGGCTCCTCGGCACAACCTTTTCCTATTAACTCTTGGCAGCCTATTTACGAGACTAACAGTGGCTAGATGCATGCATGCACCACTGTGCGGACTGAAGTACCATTATTATTCTAATACAGTCATTTCTGCAGTTCTGATGAGCACCAGATATAGATGACACACATAAAAAAACGTAATACTTAACGCATATATCTTCCCTGAGCAACATGCTCTCAGTACAGAAAGTGCAGGACCAAACACCCAGAGAACACCCTCTGCCATTCTACTTCTCTTTCTTCTTATGCATAAGCCATGAATAACTAAAAAGTAAGCACCCATATGCTGTGAGTTAATGGAGGCTTTTCCCTCAGAGTCCTCTAGGGAAAGGTACTATTTTGTTATTGCTCTTTTAGGATTCGAACATTAGCAATGGTGTGCATTATTCACTCACCTCCTCTGTGAAATAAATGGTCAACACACTTGAAAAACTAAGATTTCAAAGATTATCCAGTCAAATGTTATTATTTTGGACAAGCCCACACAAAGAATCAAACAAGAGAGGTGAGGACTAAGATAAGTTACCAATAAAGCTGCAAGCCCAGCCTCTGATTTACACAATATTTAATGCTGGGGCTACAAAAATGAGACAGACTACTTCATTCTCAAGATGTTGGAAAACATGCTTCTGTTATGCAATGCAAGAGGACTTCAGTGAACTGGGACTCTGGAACATGGTACAAGCTCCTTTTGTGTAAATACAGAAAACATTTTAGAGGAAGAGAGTTGGACAATTGAGTTAGAATGTGAACATAACATTCCCTGTGCATTTTACAAATATGGCATGGTCTGAACAAATTCTGAGAGCAGGCATACACCAGCCTGGAATATGTATTCTAGATGCAGGAAAGAGAAGGTATTAAAAGTTTTGAGGGAAAATAATTCCATCACAGCTCATACTGACTTTATTGGGAATCATACAAGGAAACAGTGTATGAACAGACTAGGTATGTGAAAAGAAACCAATCATAGTTCATGGGGAGGTCAGAAAACATAGCTCAGCACAGCTTCTTTGTATGATTTCAAAAACAGCACCTACTCTTACCACAGTGTTAAAAATAGCAGTCCTGTAAAACATTTTACCAAAGAAACTAATAAAGTAATTATGAAATCTAACACAAAACTGTACAATGTCACATCCACCTGACTTCATAAAAATGATGTAAATAGTAGTACAAAAATGCCTTCAATAGTTAAGAACTCAGGTTCTTAGCTTAGCAGGGTCACACCATGATTAGTAAAGGTTTTATGAAACCTCATCATGAATGGCAAATATGACAGAAGTGAATTCCCAGTCCTCCAGGGAGGGTGAGGAGGTGAGTGCTGTGGAGGCTTTACCTCTAGAATCTCAATTCTTCTTTCCTTCTCCGCCAGCTGCTTTCTAAGTAACATTATTTCTGCTGATGCTGGATTTAATTTGGGATCTAAAGTTTTTATTACCTGTATAAAGAGAAAAGTCATGTCCACTTTGTCTTCAAAAGCATCAAAAATGTAAGAATATGTTTTATAAAATTTATAACATAGATTATCCATGAAGTCACTAGGAGCTTATTTACAACTTAAAGAACAAAAAAAAATGGGAAAACAACACAAAAACAAACTCCTCTTGTCTATGTATTCAATGGCAGCTACTTAGCCTTTTTGTTATTTAAACTTTGAATACTGAAGTTTATTTGTTTAGCTTTTTAAAGGTAATTTAGCATTTTTATTTGGGGAGGTGACCTGGTCATGACTCCATACTCTGCTCAGAAGCCTTGTGCTTTCTGCCTCTTTCTAAACAAAAGGTAGCCCTGAAGGGCTTCCACTGCCTTCTTGCCCTTATCTCTAGGCGTCTGTCCACGTGTACATATGTGTACCATGTGTTTGCTCTGTACCTACAAAGGCCAAAAAAGGCCATCAAATTCCCTGGAACTGGAGTTACAGGTGGTTGTGCGCCATCAAGTGGGTGGTAGAAATCAAACCTGGGTCCTGCATGCTTATCAAATCTACTTGCTTTTTATTTCTGAAACATAGCTTTGTTGCATCTTTATGCCCTTCAAGATGATCACTGTGGACACATGGGAGCTCTCCACCGAGTTTGCTGTTTCCAGGCCTGACCTACTGAATATTTTCTCTGCAGTCTATATTGTCTCTTCTCACCTACTAGTTAGACAATGTTAAGTAAACTTGGGCTCCTGTGTCATGACCTGAATGACCGCACTTCAGAGCCCCTCTCATGTATGACTAGATACACTACAATTAGGAAGGAAATGTTCATCATGTGAAGCCTTAAGATTCAGGGTTCAACTTTCACTACAGCTTGTATTGACATCTTAACCAGTAAATATATGGGATCTAAATATTAAGACAAATAAATATACTACTGTTGTAGAATGTTACTTTTTTTTAAGGTGTGTTACTTTTGTTTATGTTGTATTTGTTTAACTCTGTGAAGCTCTGTTACTTTGCCTGTTTAAAACACCTGATGATCTAATAAAGAACTGAATGGCCAATAGCAAGGCAGAAGAAAGGATAGGCAAGACTAGCAGGCAGAGAGAATAGACAGAAGGAGAAATCTGGGAGGAGAAAAAAAAGAAAGGAGCTACAGAAGGAGGAGGATGGGAAAAGCCCAGAGGCAGAGTGTAGTAGGGATAACATAAGTTAAGGAAAGCTGGTAAGCAACAAGCCAAGCTAAGGCTGGGTGTTTAAAAATAATAGCCTCTGTGTGTGATTTATTTGCGAGCTGGGTGGTGGGCTCCTCAAAAGAAATAACAACAACAACAACATTTTGGTGCCCAACTTGGGGCTTGAATTTCCTTAGTGCCTGAGAAAGCTTAAAAAAAAAATATTGCTCCTTTAAGAGTTTCTGTGTGCTGGTGAGCCTTGAGCAGTTACTACGTTAAGTAGGAACAAAAACTAAGTAAAAACTCCTGCCACAGTGCAAGCATCGGCATTCTAGAGCTCTAGGAAGGTTGAATCAGTTCCTGGTCACAAACCTCCAACCTGCCAAGAGTTTCATGCTTGGTTTTCACAACACAAGAAGTGGGCAGAGTCAGTCGTGTGGAGGATCCAGGTGCAGGTTAGCAATTTAAAGGTTTGTTCATGAGGTCAAAAAAGGCTAAAGATATGCAATAAAGGAGGTCCAGACAGAAAAACCTCTAAACTGGTTACAGTGTGTTTAACAATGTGAGTAGGCTTAAGAAAAGAAAAACAGTAGAGTCATAGAAAGAAATGTATAGTTTAAAATTAATAATAAAATCTTGAAAGAGACAGTGAAAGTAATATAAAAGAAAAAAAGCCATATAAGATGGGAAATACACAGGGAGTCTGGATCCTGTATGTTATTGTGTTGATTTTGAATTTTTTTGATTGTTGAAAAGCAAAGGACAGCTGCAAAGAAACCTGCAATTGAATGAGGGACTGTTGAAATAAATCAATCAATATACTTTAGGACTGCCTTAACTTTTAAAAAGTCAAAAAATATATTTTTTGAATAAAAATAAAAAATGCTTCAGAGTTTTGTTCCCACAGGAGATGAGAGGCTGTGGATTCCTTCAGGGTTAATATGGATCAAGTTTGATGAGGCGAGACTTCTTGAATCTTTGCAGGTGATATCTATCAGCAAAGGTTATTGCTGGTTTTCCCAGGACTTGGCCATTATCTCAAATTTTCTCCCTGGGACCTTAAAGATGCTTTTTCCTCCACAAACAGCTGGAAGCAGTATGGAGAAAACTACGCCAACATTTCCAAGAGATTGGGGTGTGGGTGGTTTTTGGTTATTTGGTGGGTTATGGATGTTTGTTATCATTTAGGGGAATATAGAATATTGATACGAATTTAAAGTTATTTTCGTTACACTGTATATATGGTTCTAATCTAATTGTTTAAAGGATTTTTGTATGCTGATAAAAATTTAAGGTTATTTTTGTTACAACATATTGCATGTATGTTTCTATTTTTGTTTGAGGTATTATACCTATGCAGTTTGTTTAAAAATGTAAGGTAAAAATTCTAGTTTTTGAAAGCTGTTATTATAAACTATGTAGGATAATCAGGAAACAGAGGTTAGTGGTTAGTCTTTATAACAATCAAATTTGTAGATATGTTAGGTATGCTTCGAGATCATATAGATATATATTTTAGATAGATAGTCTTCACACCATTCAAAGACCTACAGAATATGGCATTTAAAATGTTAACTTAGGGCTTTTCATGACAGTGAGACATATCTGCTCCTGGCAGCACAGTTTACTTCAGAGATGATGGGCACTGAAGAAACTCCTTATGGAGTTTGCGTTCACTGTGGCAAGGTTAGCCACTGGGCAAAGAAACTGCTCTTGCCTTTGACTGCTGATAATATGTTGTATAAACTGGACATGCAGGACCCACAGAAAAGTGACCACTGAGCTTTGCCAAAATAAAGCAGGATGGTCCTTCAGGGTTGCTGCTTCACAGAAGAAACTGCCACACATTCTGCAGGACACAGAGGAAAGTGACTGACAAATTTTGCCAATATAGGTGAGACAGTCTTTCAAATCTCCTGCCTCACTGAAAAGTCTACCAGCTACTATGGGCCTGTAGGCTAAAGATGGATGTACTAACGTTGCAGAGAAACTTTGGATGACTGTCCAGGAAGCCAAATGTCTCTGTTGTTAGATAATATTACATCCTTCTGGGTCTTTGATGGAGTTGAAGACTAGATAGTTATAGTTTCAGTCTTCCTTATTTATGATAGAAAGTAAATTATGTATAAACCTTTGGAGTTACTAAGATGGATGGATGGTAGAATTCTTTTTCTGAATTTGCTAATTGTAAATGGACTGAATAATGTAAATTAATTCTTATTTGATAACTGTTTTTTTGTATGTAGTTGTACTATATTAAAGTTAAAACCTTTTTATTTAGACAAAAAGGAGGAAATGCTGTAGAATATTACTGTAAGGTGTGTTACTTTTGTTTATATTGCATTTATTTAACTCTATGAAGCTGTGTTACTTTGCCTATCTAAAACACCTGATGGTCTAATAAAGAACTGAATGGGCAATAGCAAGGCAGGATAAAGGATAGGCAGGGGTATCAGGAAGAGAGAATAAATGGAGAAATTTTGAAGAAAAGAAGGAGTCAGAGAAGGAGGAGGATTCCAGGGGCCAGCCACCCAGCTACACAGCAAGCCACGGAGTAAGAGAATGGGAAAAGCCCAGAGGCAAAAGGTAGCAGGGGTAATATAAGTTAAGGAAAGGTGGCTATCAACAAGTCAAGCTAAGGCCAGGTATTTGTAAGTAATAATGTGTGTGATTTATTTGGGAGCTGGGTGGAGAGCTCCCCCCCCAAAAAAACGACACCAACAACATACTACTATTAGTTTAAAGTTGTACCTCCATGAAATTCCTTAATTTACTAAATAGAAAAGAATGTATTAATATTCTGAGAGAATATTTATATGTGGTATTCATGAAAGTAAGACTATGAAAACAATATTTCACAGATATTTGAGCTAAACTATACAATAAGGAAAAGTAAGAATTTAATCTGATGAACATCAGGATAGAGTTTAAGTCTCTAAAGTGTAAAATAAGGCTAATTTGGTACATTCCAAGAGATTGTCTCCATAAAAAGGTAAACAATTTCATTCATTTTGCTAACACTCTAGTAAATTTTATTCTCAGTGAACATGCTGAGACCTTAGCACATAAGTCTAAGTTTGTTGTTCTAAAAGTAAAAGACTTTATATCATAGTAATCACTTTCTTTTCCTAAGGTCATATTTATCTGACACTAAGTCAGACTGAGTATGCAAGACTCACATAGAAGATGGCAGAAACCTGACAGGCAAGGCAAGGCAGAGATGAACAAAGTGACTAGGTTCAGACACAGACTTGCAGTACAATCAGAACTAGGGATGACTAGAAGATGGGATACAAGGAATCAGCTGAGCAGGTGGGTCACTCACATTTCTGGCTTTCTCTAAGTACATTTTATATCTCTCCTCCATTGCTTTCATGTCTTCATCCTTCTTTTGAAGAGCAGCTTCAAGCTCACTGATCTTTTGGACTATTTGTGAAAAAAAATTAAACCTATTATCACATATTCAAAACACTTGATCCTCACACAAAAAATGTATTTATCAAACTTATTTTCCAATGACCACTAAGAGAGCTTCCAAGAAAAAGCCTCTAATTTCTTCTTAGTAATTTATTCTTATCTAAAATTTCTGAACTACAAGTAATATATCCTCAATCACCGTCTATAATCTAAATGTTTCTACCTTTCTAACAAACATTAAGAATGTGAAATATACTGTTCAATGTAATCACAACCACAAGGAAAGAAAATAAGACATTGTTTTGAAGTTCATTTTAACCCATCTTGAAATTATTTTACTTAGATTCTACAGTATTAACTTGACTAGAATTTACAATGTTTGATACTCCTTTATATCAATCAGTTCATCTTATTAAAATTGTTTTTTGCTTTAAAATTATATATACAAATGAACTTAGCATTAAAAATTAGCATGGTTCTTATGCAATGTGCACACTACACACTGTGTAAAGATGGATCTATTTTCTTATCTGCTTCACTAGAAGGGCAGATCCTGAGCAGTGTGTCCAGATTTTACACAAACTTACCGTTCTGACTTATATCTGGCTGAAGGTCTTCAATGAGCTCCTGTTTCTTCTGTAATTCTTCATGGACTTCTGTTAGTTTTTCCCTAAGTAGTGGAGAGAGCATGGAGCTTGGTGTCAAACAGACCTAAGAATGAAAACTGGTCTTTGCCACAATAATGTTTGGACTTTGGGCAAGAATCAATCTAATCTTTAGTTTCCCACAGGTAAAGTGGGAATCTATTTACCTAACTACAGGGTCTGCTTAGTAGATGTTAATGCACCTGACATGGTACATTCCAAAGCCTTGCATTTTCCCTAAGCACTTACACTTACTACACAACTGAAAGGAAATGCTTTATAGAGTTAGCAGCCACAACGTCAAATTGGTTGGCTAATAAATGTCTGCTTAGTTAAGTCTGTCAGATGATGTTGGCTGTTTAAAAATGTAGGAGTTGGGCTGGCTGCCAGGCATGAGCAGATGAACATGTTTTCTCTTGCTCTTGGTAGCAGTGGTGAGTAGTCTGGGCCTGTGCTTTCATTCACCAAGTCAGAAAAGGACATTTTCCAGAAGCTTCTACAACCCTTCCCCCTTTGAAATGAAACATCAGTTTTACTTACATATGAGCTTCCAACTTCTGCTTTAGTTTGCTGGACTATAAAATTAAAAATAGTTGCTGTTAAGATGACTCACTTGGGAAGGATAAATTTCCCAAACATCTAAATCTCCTCACCTCTTTTAAAGTTATATTATGTAAAAATAGACTTCAAAACATGTACTTGTAATAGCATAGTTTCTAATACCTAAAATTTTAGGTATATTTTCTACATCAAAAGGAAATAAGAATGGGAAATGAAGCAATGAACAGTAACAAAAAAAGTCTGCTTATTTTTGAACATAATAAAAATTAAACTTGAACTTGAAGAAAAATAGCAAATCCAAGCTGAATGTGATATATTGAGGAGTATCAAACATTTCAGTATCTAATTAATAACTATTGAAAAATACAGATGTTAATATTTATCTTATAAAACTATCATTGTAAATGAAAGCACTTTAATATCAACATTAAAATGAGGCAACTGGATTTTTATCACAAACAAACTTAAAATATCAAGTTTCCTCTTTTAAAAGTAGTACTTTTAACCATAACAGTAGTTCCACATCAATTAGGTACCTGTAAAACTCTGATAACATGGACATCAATACATTAAAAACAAAAGGTGAAGGAATTAACAATCTTCAAAACACTGCAACCCAAAATGTTGTCCCCCAAATAGGTGCCGTTTTAAAAGTATTCCCAAAGTGGCTTAGTGATATCTGTATTAGAGAGGATACAATACCGTATATATGCACATATGAGATGCCGCCATGCATGAGATGACTTCTATGTTCCAAGCCCCCAGGGAAAAAAGAGAAAACCATATAAAGTATACAAAAGACAGAAGGGAAATTCACCCCTTTCAACCTGCCTTTCCACCTCTCCTCACTTTACAGCTTCCTCCCCCACCAGTATTTTCTATCAACTGGTATTTGCTAACACATCCAGATCTACTTTTTCTTTTAATCAACTACATCTCCCTCAATTCTTTTCTTCCCCACATATAAAAGTAAAGTATGGGAAAACTGCTAGGTATGTCAAAAATTCAGATTAAATCTATCTCTTTTCAAGTCTTCCCATCTCAGCCCACACTGTCTAAAATGTTTTGAGATGAAAGTAGGGGAAACATTAGGGGTGATGTCTTCAAAACTGTGTCAATGTCCTTCACACTCGTCATGATTTCTTCAATGATCTGTCAGTTGAAACTACTTGTTTCCTATTAGGAAGCTTTTTCAATTCTGAGTGCTGATTATTCTCATTTCGCTTTTTCTTCAGGACAAGCTTGACAAAATCCCAGTAGATCTGTTAGGCCTCAAAGCATCACTGTCTGAGTCAAGGCTTAGAGAACTTAAGTATAGGTGCCAAGCAGGACAGATAGAAATCACCTTACGATATATGTGAGCAATCTAAAAGACTTCAAGTTGGCAAAAATCACTGCATCTGTTATGCAGATATATACGGTATTTGAAGGTACCGTTAACAAAAAGGGTACCATTTCAAATGCAGAGAAGTAGGTAGTGGAAACTATTAGAGAATACACATAGAGCAAGTTAAGGACTCTGTTACTTACACTTTCGCCTTCAGTCTTGGAGCCCTGTTCTTGTAACGATTTCTGGAGGTCCTCAATTTGCTGCTGCAATTCTCCAATGCGCTCCTTGCTCAATCTATTGTGACATGAGTTGGTATTTATCTACTCATATTTAAAGTTAAAGCAGTTAGGGGTCTATAAAAGTGCATTCATGCAACTTAATACAAGTGCTAGCATAAATAAGTACAAGGCAATTATCTGTGGAAAGCACAATAGGGAGAACAGGATGTCACTTCTGGGGAAATAAAAAGAACTTTTCCTCTCTTAAAGCATATACGTGCAATACTGAATGTAGTCACATGTCTATCATTCTTTATCAGCTCACCAAAAGCTGAAACCTAGTATTTCTAGGGTTAGCAAGATAGTAATTGTCAAGTCTCTTCAGAAAGGTCAAATGTACCCTATTTTACTCACAGAAAACAAGGTTCAAGTGTTCGAAACCCCAGTGGTCTCTTGACAATCTGGTAAAACCTGGATAAACAAATCCAGCTGCACCCATCTCTACACTGAGTATCTCCTTAATGAAGTAAGTTAGAAGACACTCAGCAGTCAGGTTGGCAGATGCTTTCAATGTGGAATCCAGAGCTTAGAAGCTTTCTAACTTCACTAAGTTTCTGACCCACTCCATCTCCACCTCCTTATCCATAAAAAAGGTGACCACAGTCACCAATTCATAGTGAGGATTTACTGAACTTGTCCGTAAAAGTGCTTGTAAGAAACTATTATTTATGAGAGTGGAGAAATAGCTCAGCATAGGACACTTGCTTGAAGCCCTGGCTTCAGTTTCCAATAGTGAAAAAACAAGATTGAAGCATAGAAGGAAGGGCATTATGAAGATTTTGACAGGAAAGTCATAGAAGTCAGATACAAGTATTGTTTAGGATGATAAAAAGTTTAAGTGGAACCAGGAAAGCACACCATTTGCTGTAAATACATTAACCAGCTTCTTCCTGTGTCTATAGCTGAATAGTCTGAATTTAAGTAACTTGACAAGAAACAGTGACTGAGTTAAGCAAGTGGAATTCTAATTGACCACACAAAAAGGCCCATGTTTAAATACCACATCATTTCCATTTTCATGTATTACTCTATGACTAAAATGTAAATTTCCATGTCAAAGATTGTATTTTTAAAATACAAATTTTTGAAAAATTTTAGCTCACCAATATAAATCTCAGTAAAACATTTTATTCTATTTAAAAAGGTAACTTTTGATCTGTGTTAGGTATTACTTAATATAATATTATTGAAATAAAAAAACTTGTGTTTAAGAATTTTAAAAACTTGACTATAGAATCTGTGTCTTATCTACACACCAACTGTAGTAGCCGCTAAACCATTATTTACCATTTGTTTTCTTTCGGTTGTGACGATATCTAGTGAACATCAAGAATAAGTATCCTGGCTAGCTAAGTCTATTAAAACAAACACATTATTCTATATTTTATGATAATATCACTGAACTAAATCCTTTGAATTCTTCACAGAGTAAGGACTACAGTGGTGAGAAACACCTGCTTGGCAATACCACCTATTCAGGCCATAGTGCTGTTTCCTACTTCTACGTAACTGAGTCACTTGACTTCTAATGGCAACAGTCACCTTTGTTCAGTTTCCAACTCGTTCATCTTGCGGTGCTTCTGCTCCAGCTGCTCCTGCAGCTGCTCGATGCGTTCATTCTCTGTCCCTTCCTGCTGCAGGCGAAGCATTTTGTTTTCATGCTGCAGTCGAATGAACACCTCTCTAATGTCGAAAAGCATTTTTTTAATTTTTAAAATAAAGTTTACAATATATTTTCAAGTTGTTGCTACATTTATATACTTAGTGTGTATACGTATGTATATGTGTTTGTGTACACATGTTCCATGGTATTCATGTAAAGGTCAGAGGGCAACTTGTGGAGTCAGTTCACTCCTTCACCACGTGGATCCAGGGATAGAATGCAGGTAGCTAGGGTTGGCAGAAAGTACCTTAACCCACTGAGCAATCTCACTGGAACCACCATATTATTTTAAGGGAATTCCTATCTACTCAATAGTTCTAATTTTAAAATAAGATTAAAAACTCCTGAAAGTTTTAAAGAAACACTGTATGCCTTGCAAGGTCACACCTCAAAAGTTAAAGGTAACAGTATATGATCATGAGCAACACCATTAAACAAATATGTAAATCCCTAGATAATACGACTTCACTTTTAAATTTTAGCAACTTCAGGAAAAGTATATTCTTAGGATGTATATGATAAAACACAAGCAAATGTAAGAAAACAGTTTGCCTAAAAATCTTAATACATTTTTATGATCATTAGTCTCACTATACATATTAAGAAAAACTTTTGTGTATCTGTATCACATTGTCACTATCATTTATCAGTTGAAGGACATTTTGTTGTTTTCATTTCTTTGCTATTGTGATGTTGAGTCTACTGGGCATATGCCAAGGAGTGATTTATTTTTAACTTTATGAGATTTGGTTGTAAAGAAAAATGGAATCATGAAATCAGCAGGTAAAGAGTTGAAAGAAGAAAATATTTGGAGGCGACCCAGATCCAGAAATATAAATGCTCCATTTCTCTTTTTTGTCCTTCCAGCTCTGAATGTCTAGGAGTTGAGTATCTACCTGGAGTAACCACAGAACCCTGAAAAGTCTCTAGAGATGGGAAGAGTGAATAATGGGGGCTATGAAGTAGTAAATGGGAAAAATGGGGAGGAAAGTAAGTTGAAAGGGTTCAAATAGTACAGTCCCAAGGGAAGTGCTAAACAGAAAGGATGTTTTTGGGTGGGAGAATCATTTATGTTCATCTAAAGTTATGTATAACTAGTTGCAGAGGTATTTATTTTTTTAAATGAAGTTATGCCACTTACTGTGATTATGCTTTCCCCAAGAACCAAAGAGCAAGAAAACCCCAGTGTAGGTATAAGAAACTCCTTTATAGTTGTTGGTTAGAGGCATCTAAGAGACTCCTAAAACAATATAGGCTGTTGCTGTTGCATTTGGTTGCCTCTCAGAAGTTGAAGCTAAGTCCCTGTTGTGGAAGACACCAGGCACTTATGACTTAAGAAGAATCCAGCAGAATCTGACCTGGAAGTCTCCTCTATGAGGAGTAGATTTTACAGTACTTGAAGATGCTAAGAAAGCTGCCAAGGAAGAAAAGTAATCAGTAGTCCTACCCAGCCATGGTGCTTATAGACCACAATGCCCAGCATGACAAGACAACCCAAAAGATACAATATTGGCACTTAAATCTTGGTAACTGGACTTGAGGCCTACTCAATAGAATCTACTAGTGCTGCTACTTCCCCAAGTCAGTATATAATCTTTTTTTTTTTAAGTGATTGAGGGTTCTTTTTTTTTTTTTTATAAGATTTATTTATTATGTATACAGAAGAGGGTGCCAGATCTCATTACAGATGGTTGTGAGCCACCATGTGGGTGCTGGGAATTGAACTCAGGACCTCTGGAAGAGCAGTCGGTGCTCTTAACCTCTGAGCCATCTCTCCAGCCCCAGTATATAATCTTTAACTGCATGCTTTTTTTTTTTTTCTTTTTTAGACAGGGTCTCACTATGTAGTGCTGACTGGCCTAGAACTCAAGAGATCTGCCTGCCTCTGCCTCAAAGCACTGGGATTAAAAGCATGTGTCACTATGCTCAGCTTTAGAATGTATTTTTAATACTTATCCTTATACCCACAGATAAGTGTACCTCTTGGCTCTCAGCCAAGAAACTTCTTTTTGCTGCTGCAGGAGACCATTACAGGAATCCAGAACTGGTCAAAATGCTAAGAACAACTGACTGTGGGGTGCTCAGCACCGACTCATACATCTACAACACAATCCTAAATCTAAGCCCCTGGAACATGGCAGAAAAGGGGGTGGGAAGATTGCAAGAGACAGAGGACTGTGGTGATATATCGTGTTCCCCAAAATATTGTGCACCCTAATAAACTTATCTGGGGTCAGAGAACAGAACAGCCACTAGATACAGAGGCTAGAAAATGGTGGCACTCACGCCTTTAATTCTAGCATTCCAGAGGCAGAAATCCGTCTGGATCTCTGTGAGTTCAAGGCCACATTGGAAACAGCCAGGCATGGTGACACATGCCTTTAATCCCAGAAAGTGAGCCTTTAATCCCTAGAAGTGAGGGCAGAAAGCAGAAAGGTATATACGGCATGAAAACCAGGAACTAGGCTGGTTAAGCTTTTAGGCTTTTGAGCAGCACAGTTCAGCTGAGATCCGTTTGGATGAGGACTCAGAAGCTTCCAGTCTGAGCAAACAGAAGCAGCTAAGGAATTGGTGAGATGGCTGTGGCTTGTTCTGCTTCTCTGATCTTCCAGCATTCACCCCAATATCAGCCCCAGGTTTGATTTTATTAATAAGACTCTTTAAGATTCATGCTATAGAGGACCAAGATACATCTGTTGAGAAATTTATCTTTTATATATGACAGGGAAGCTGCATGCATGAGATCTCAACTATATAGCTGCCTAAAGACCTGAGCAATGACAGCATCAGCTGGATGGGGAAATCTCACAAGATGTAGATGATACAGGCAATTAAAGGCTGCTGAGAGAGAATCAGTTTTCTCCAGGAATGAACCCCTAATTGGTTATCCAATTCCAAATGGCCAGGCCCCAAAACACATACATATCAGCGACACTAAATGGACTCAGCATGTAAGATTTATTTGGTTGTTTAATATATATGTAACAATGATAACTAAAGAGAGGTAATGAGTGAGGAGGGTACACAAAGGGGCTAGAGACAGAGAATGGTGTAAATACAGTACACATATGATATTTTAAAATATTTTTTTAAATTATTAATGGTTTATATAAAGGTCTTAAGGTATTTTTCATATTGAGATTCAATGCAATTTTCATTCTGATATTAAATAGGAAATTTACAATTTCTCCCTTTTCCAAATCTCATACTCCCAAAGCAACTACTTTCAACAAATTCAAATTTTGTTTTAAATGGCCAAAGCATCACTCTAAAACTTAAGCTCTATAGCCATTTAAAAACTGATTTTAGCATAATGATTGACTCAACAGCAAAGAAAATGACTCTCATTTTATATAACTACTCAGAAGTTTGTTAATGATATTGCTTTTTGTCTTCTTATAATTTTATAACTTGAAATGAGTTACTTAACTTCTAAAGTAAAGTAACTTTTGTTATATGATTTTTAGGCAGTAAGCTGCTTCTTTAATAACAAAGCAGATGACCTTACAGCCTAGTAAGAAAATTCAGGTTATATTAGAATGTTAGTTTGTGGGATTTTGCTTCTGATGTAATTTTAAACCTTGTGCTAGCAATTATAGTCTTGTCTATAAAGTTTAAAAAAAAAAAAGAGAATTTTATATTATTTGTCTATATTATTCTGAGAAAAATTTCCAAAAGGCCACCTACCCTAAGATTCTGTTTTTGAAATATTAATAAAAGGCAACTAGTACTGGTCATCTAGGGGCGAGATCTGAGGGGAGGGGCATGAATGGGGAACAACTGCTAATGGATATATAGGTCATGTAGTTGTAATGACAGATGGTTCTAAAATCAGATAATAATGGTGATGGTCACATTGTGACCGTGACAACTCTATGAGTATAGTGAGAAATATCAACCTATTATTTTAAGTAAATGAATTATATCTTAATGAAACTAAACAAAGGATAATCTGAGTTTTAATAAATAAAATCTGACTTGTGCCAAAGACTAATAATATTTTACAACTAGATAGGTAAAATGCCTAGAAGTAAATCACCATAAACAACCAGGATAAAAGACAGACTAAGGGGGAATGTCTACATTTATATTTTGTTTAATTTTACCATTGTTACCGACAATTCTTCTATTTTATTTTACTCAAATGGATATGAATGTCATATATTAAGAGTTTCCAGAGTTAAAAAAAAATAGAAAAATTATTTCAATACAATACAGGACTCATCATAAACACTAGACTGTTACTCTGCCAGTTCGTAAAACTTTACTTTTGACAATTTTTTAAATTGCTGGAGTAAAAACAAAGTTTTCAGCTCTATCATAATAACAAACTTATTAAATAATAAAATTTTTTAATTAAAGTACATGAAAAAAAGATAGACTAAAACCAATTGGCAATTACTATTAGGTACAAATTTACCTGTATTCCACTGGCATGATCTCAGCAGCGAGGTTCTCATAACTTTTTGTAGTAGATGCATCTAAGCAACAGAAATCAATTAGTTGTCATCAGTATTTCAATCATTAGAAAAACAAACTTACATCTGCCCAACTCACCAGCTTGATTTAAGTGATCTTGCTGTGCCTGTGAGCATCGTAGCTCCTCATTCGTCTCTTTCAGAGTGTCACGCTGTTCTATCAGTCTCTAAAAAAGAATTGTTCTATCAGCAGTTATAACCTCCACACCAATGAGTAGACAGCAACTGTGTATGTGCATAAATGTGCATGTGTGTGTGCAAGCATGCACGCCTTCCACACATGGGGTCCAGGGATCAAATTCAGGTTGTCAATTTTGACACCAGGAACTTTTATCTACTTAGCCACCTAGCCTGCCCAGAATTCATTTTCTGATTTGAAAACTTGACTGAAAAGCTGTAATGATCATGACTGATAGAGGGGGTACTAACACAGGGGCTAGACAGATAGTCAATGTAAGAGAGCCAAAAGGCAAGATCTATGCTCTTACATTTCTGGTCAAGTATGTATTTATTTTTAATTAGTAGGGTCTTTTGTGGGTAGTTTTAGATTAATTAGAAAAATCAACAGGACACCCCAAGTTTCTATGCATTCCCTCATCTCTCATCTCTCTTCCACTACCAGTTTCTGTATTTCTAACACCTTGCACTGTTGTGACCAATGTGCCAGTGTGAGTACACTATTGTTAATGCGTTCCAATGTGTAGGCTTTGCCCTTTCTGTTACAGATCCTATGCCATGTATGCACCATAACAGAATCATGATCTTCTGGCTTGTATAACTAGAGTGACAAGACAGTTTCAATGAAGAAAGAACAGTCTTTTAAACACATGAGGACGGGACAGCAGACAGCAGCCTACAAGTGAGTAAGTTGGATACTACGTCACATCATATACAAAATGGAACACAGACTACATATAAGAGCCAGACTCTAAAACCTTGCAAAAGAACACAAAGAAGTAAATCAAAACCAAGAAAAACAGACAACTGTGACTTAAAGTAAACAGGAAACTTTTGCTGAAAACAGGACTACTGTGAACATGAGAAGATAACACACAGAATCAGAGAAAATGTTCAAGAATTACTTATCTAAGAAAGGATTTGCATCCAGAATATATATTAAAAAAAAATCCTCACACTGAAAAAGCAAATAATTGAAGTGAAACATGGGAAGGATCTTAAGAGCCATAAAGTATACATACTTGCTCAATGACCTTAGTTATTACAGAAATGCAAGTAAAAATTCACATTCACTAGGATAGCTAAAATAAACCACAATGTCAGGAAAGTGTTGGCAAGGACACAGAAAAGAGATTAAATATACTTATGATAAGGCACTATGTTACCTTTCTTAGAATGCACTCCAGAGGAATAAAAAAACACTCACATAAAAATGTGTGAATAAACCAGCAACAATATTCATAATAGCCCAAAGTGTGATGAGTCCCAATGTCCACACACTGACGACCAGACAAATGAAGCATGCTGTATCAACACAATGGGCATCATTTACCAAGACAGTATACCATATAAAGCTTGAGCGAAAATATGGGTGACCTTGAACAAGATAATCGCAAAACCTAGTCATGTCACTGCATGCTTCAGACAGGCCAGCAAAATGCAGAGACAGCAAGTCCATAAACAGTTGCTGAGACTGATGGAAAGGAGACCAGACTGTATGCTACCTGCTAATGTAAAGAATTTCTTTTTGGAAGTACAGTATTCTCAAACTTGATTACAGTAATGATGGCTCAATTCTATGGATACATATTAAAAGCCTTGTGTGATGGTTTTAATTTTCAACTCCATTGAACTGAAAAATATCAGCAAAGCACAGCTATGAGGCTGGCAGGTTGGCACTTCAGAGATGATTGGATCATGAGGACTCTAAACTGATGAATGGATTAATTCTTAGTGGATTCACAAGATGACAGTATTAGATGGTAAAGAATCAAAACTGGACTTAGTGGGAGGAAACAGACGTCTTTGGGCCATGTCCTTGGGGACCTCCTGTATTCCTCTCTCTGCCCATCATCTACCATGAGCTAACAGTCTCTTCTTCCAAAGTATCACTGCTTCTATTGTGTTTCCCCCTACTACAGGCCTGCCAACAAAACAGGCCATTATGAATAAAGCTTCAGTAACTGGTAAGCTAAAATTATCTTTCCTGTCATACATAAATGCCAGACATCCTGTCGTAGCAATGTGATTGCTAAATGACACCCATGGAACAGTATACTTTATAGAAATGGACATGGTATGTTCATAGATACTAATAAAGTTGTTGATGGTCCTTGCTTTAAGGTGACTGGATGAAAATCTAGACTATGCATTCTGTTATGTGTTGTCTTCAATTTCTATCATCAATGTTTTCTAACTTTCATGCAGAGTTCTTACACTTTTCTTGGTCAAACTTATTACTAAGAATTGCTGTGGGATATCTTTCTGTATGCTGTGAATATGTGTTGCTCTGATTGGTTGATAAAGATGCATCGGCCTATGGCAAGGCAGCTTAGAGGTAGGCGGAAATCCAAGCAGAGAGACAGGAAGAAAAAGGAGAGGTGGAGAGACGCCAGCCTGCCACCCAAGGAACATGCCAGCAGACTGGTAAGCCACAGAACATGTGGCAAAACATATGAATAGATGAATAGAAATGTGCTGTGGGATGGTCTGTATGTCAAATGCTCTGATTGGTCAATAAATAAAACACTGATTGTCCAGTGGCCAGGCAGGAAGTATAGGCAGGACTAACAAGAGAGGAAAATTGAGAGAACAGGGAGGTGGGAGGAGACACTGTCAGCCACCGCCATGACAAGCAGCACGTGAAGATGCTGGTAAGCCACAAACCACATGGCAAGGTATAGATTTATAGAAATGGATTAATTTAAGATATAAGAACAGTTAGCAAGAAGCCTGCCACGGCCATACAGTTTATAAGCAATATAAGTCTCTGTGTTTACTTGGTCAGGTCTGAGAGGCTGTGGGACTGGCGGGTGAGAGAGACTTGTCCTGACTGTGGGCCAAGCAGGAAAACTCTAGGTACAGAAATGGGTTAATTTAAGTTATAAGAGCTAGATAGCAAGAGGCCTGCCATAGACTATACAGTCTGTATATAAGCCTCTCTGTGTTTACTAGGGTCTGAGCAGCTGCAGGACCAGACGGGACACAGAAAAACTTCTAGCTACAAAGAAATGTATTTATTTTGTAGCTATTGTCACTGTGACTTTTTTCATGATTTCTTTGCAGTAATCTCACTATTGGTGCATAAAACACCTACCAAGTTTGTGTGCTGATTTTGTCCTACAGCTTTACTAAATTTACCAATTCTAATTCTTCTTTAGTACTCTATATAAGAATCATATAATATTTCTAAAATGTCTAAACCACCCCAAATTATAAAGATTCAGTGCAGTCACCATGAAAGAATTGATAACAACATTTTCACAAAAGAATGACTGGGAAAAAGTTTTAATGCCTATGAAAGCACAAGAGATCCCAAATAGTCATGGCAATCCTGAACCAAGCAAACAATGGGAGCATCACAGAACTTGATATCAAAGTGTACTGCATAGAGCAGCATCCAGAACCAGAGTACTGGCAAAAAACAGACGAACTGACTGATGAAATGGAACATGAATACCATAAATAAATCCAGGCCTTTATAGTCAAATGATCCTCCATGAAAAGGACAAAAACTTAATATTCCAGAGAAAAGAATGCCTTTTCAATTACTGTTGCTCCCCCCACCCAAAAAAAAAAAAAAATCAAGCCGTATCTCTCATTGTGTAGTGCTATAGCAACCAAAAATGGACCAAAGACTTAAACATAAGGTTTTAAACTAGGAAATCACTAGGAAAAAAATATGTTTAGGATTCAGGTTAGTGGTTAGGGGTTAAGGATTAGGATTAGGCTCTCGACGCAAACCGATGGGCGAACCGCGCTATAAAAGTTGCCTTAAATATAAGGGAAGGCTTTGCCCTGGAGGAGATGGGAATGGGGGGGGGGAGGTGAGGGGGACGGGAGGGGGGAGAACAAGGGAATCCGTGGCTGATATGTAGAACTGAATTGTATTGCAAAATAAATAAAAAAAAAATAAAATTAAAAAAAAAAAACAACAAAAAAAAAGGATTAGGATTAGGGCAATTCAAGGCTACAAAAAAAAAGACATTTTTTTTTAATCACACATTTATGATCACCTCTTTTTCCTTGAGTAAAGCTTCATGTTTTTCTTCAAGCCGTTTCATCTCAAATGCTAGTGTATCTGCCCTTTTAGACTCAGAGGAAAGCTTAGTGTGAAGGTCCTGAACCTTTGGGCAGGAAAAAAAAAAAGGAAAGGAAAATAGTTCATGAGACTTATCAACTTTCAGGGTTGAATAAATGAACAAGGCGAATTGGAAACAGACATTTTAATTCTAAGTTATTTGGAAAAACAGAACATCAAAAAAAAAAGAATTACAAAAAACTCAACAAATTAAAATTAAAATAAGTCAAAATATTTAAAAGTAGGCTTTATTTTAATAATTTTCAAGGTTGTTTGGTAAATGGCACAACAGAGTATCTGAAGGTAGAGCTACCTTCTCTATCATTGCCTGGGCATTTGTCCAATTACCCAAACACTGACAAACAATAAGGGCTCAACAGGAAAACCTGAAGAGCTCAGAAGGCAGTACAAAGGTGAAGGATGTAGGTAAGTAAGATTCCGCAACTGTCCCCTAAACTACAATTGCAGAAAGAAGAAATTCATCAGGAGCACACAACTTACTACACTCGATATCTAACTTCTCTATCACTCTGGAAAATAAAAATGAAATCACAACACTGAACTCTTAATTTCATCAATGAGATATTCAGACATCGCTCACCTGGCGCTTATAGGTCTCTAGCTGCGCACGTGCTGCGTTGGCCTTCTTCAGCTCCTCTTCCAAGCTCACGGTGTTGTGCATATACATCATATTTGTCTCCTGTAAAGATTTCACCTGCTTACGGAGGTCATTTAGATCTTGCAGCTTCTGACGATACACTTCCACTGCCGACTCCAGTTTATTTGCTTTGTCTGAGGTAGCCCTGCATTAATAAAATGTATATGCACACATTTTTTTCTAGCTGCAAAATGAATACTCTAAACAATAACCAAAACATAAGCCTAAATCCATTTCAAGTTCATTATTTTTGTTGTAAAGTCATCAACTATTAAAATTCTCTAGATTTGACAGATTGACAGACTTTTAGCACAATGTATCAAAATGTATGATTTGGTACACATGACTAAGTAATTCTGAGCTATCTAGTTCCCAGGCAAACCACCTATATTGTTTAGCGAAGTTGTAAGTGTTCGATATGTTTATAAAGTTGATTCATTTGACAAATTTGTCTCTGGCAAAGCACTTTTCTTTAGAACTGCATTTATCTGACCAACTGTGCTAAAGCAAAAATGAACTGAAAAAAATTAAATCACTTCAATAACACACATAGGTCCAAATTAATAGCTATAATGATTTCTTTTCAAATGGGTATTTAAAACAGAAAAAATTAAAAAAATCACATAAAAACACTAACTTCCGCCCAGTGGCTGAAGGTGCTCCCGAGCAAGCCTGACACCTGCGTTCAGTCACCAAAGCCCACATGATCCCGGGAAGAGAACCAACTCCCACAAGGTGTCCTCAGGCTCCTACAACATGCATGCATACTCCCCAAATCATAGTGGCAGCTAAGCATACATTTTATATCCCACAGACAATCCTACCTGAAAGAAACGCTAGAATTCTTACCTATGCTGAGTTTCCCAAAATGCAGTAATGCATACGAAATCAGTAACGTACTATTGACAAAATTCTAAGAAAATATTATCATTTTGGGTTTCTGGGTTCTGATGTGAAACTGTCCTAACAAGAACTGAATGTTACATCTTTAAATGCAGGTCTAACTAATGAGCACAGAAGATGACCAGAAGTCTAAGTAAAAAGTGATCAATCCACAGGGATATTGAGAGTTTTGGTAAGACTGGAAATCACTCAAGTTATCTAAACAATAGCTGAGAAGTGGCATGAGGACCCGGATAGGCCGTACCTAAGAACATCTATCTCATCTTTCAGGGCTCTGGTTTCCTCAGCAAGGCTTGTCAGCTCATCGTTTCTGTGCTGAAATTCAATCAGCTGCTTTTCAAGTTCCTCACAGTGAACACGGTAATCATCTTTTGCAGCTTCAAGCCTTAAAAGAAAAGAAATATTTTTAATATAGTTTCCATCCTTTGTCTCCTCATTGAGATTTGAAGTGAATATGACATACTTAAATTCCACCTTCAGAAGAGGGAAAATTAAAGTAACTCTTAGCCATTAATATTGAAACACAAATGAAAGGTACATAATGTTGTGAGTTTTCACTTTACCTCTTATGTATATCTGGTTCTAACTGAAATTTTAATGGGCAAAGATACAGTAATTTTTTAAATACCTGATATGTAAGGAGGTAAAATATTAATTCTCAACTGATTAAGGACAATCAGTCTGGGACATATTGCTGTGTCAGAAAGTACACAAAAGAAAGATTACATTTAAAGGATACAATGGTGGACTTGGTCAAATCTCAGAGAGCAGAGCATCAAAACAAAGGATGAGAGTGACAGACAAAGCATCCACTGAGGAAGAATCAGTTAACGAACTCCTGGACTCCATTTTGAATGGGGAAAAGTTATAAAGAAATTGAGACAACTTATTGTATTTGAAAATGTTCTGTGGTTTAGATAGGAACATGGTGTCAATGAACAATCTCCTAATTATCATCATTATGCTATGTTTTGCTGTTTTTAGGAAATACATGCTGAAGCTTAGAGGGGGCTAAAGAATCTGCATTTCTCCAAAAATCTGAATCCCTAACATGAATACTGATTGTGCTAAACAGAGAAAGCTTTAAAAAATAATAATAATAATAATAATAATAACTATGAAACAGCTGTAAAAGGTATACAGGAAGGAGTTCCTTATATCTTGACAATTTTATTTTGCAAGTTTGAAATGATATGAAAATATATGTAAGGTACAATTAAAATGCTTGTTCTCAAGGTCTTTGCATAAGGCTCAGTAGACAGCCCATCAGAAACCACCAACCTTTACTAAAGACAAGAGCTTTGGCTGTTTATTGAGTGAAAAGCATCCTTTAAGCTTAAGATCTGCATCCTTTAATTACTGTTAATTTACTTATATGGTGCTCTCTCCAAGCCTCTGTGACCCCTCCAGCAACTCTTACTGCCAATGTCTGGCTTCTGTCTTTGAAGTCCTTTGTTTTAATGTACATAGTCTAACTGGTTAATATGACCGATCCCTGTGAGGAAGGCACTGCTTACACCATTTGGTATTTTTGCTAGGTGTACTTTAATCAATGTCCTAAGCATATATAATTCTCAATTATTGACTATTGATAATTATGGCTCTTTAGATATTAGTTTAACAAAACTGTAATTTCTACTAAAAATACTACCTGTAGTTTTCTTCTTGTAATTGTTCTAGTTGTAACTGTGCATGAAAATACTTTTTCGCAACCATTGTATTTGGATCATCAAAAGAGCCATCCAACTGGTCAAGCTTTTCATTCATCATCTCATTCTCGGAAACCAGTGAATTCTTCTCATCTTGAAGTGCAGTCACCTGAGAAACAAGCATCAGTAGCAAAGCCACCTCTGAAGAGCTGGGGGTTCTGTATTCTAATTCTGACTGAGGGATGAAACAGTTTGACTAAGAGGTGATTTTTAAGGATTCTTCCAACACCAGAATTCTGAATATAGGAATTTTAGGTCAAACAAGAGAAATCAAATCAATATTTCTAAATGTAAATCTGAAGAACATATAGTTTGAGGTCTAAGTTAATTTTCAGATGTAGTCATTTTCTCAGCCTAAATTCTCATTGAGGTTCACAGCAGAAAATAGCCAGTCCCATATTCTGGAGACAAGCATCTGTGGTTAAAGAACCAATAAACAAACAAACAAACAAACAAACAAAAAGCCAGCTAGACTGTTTTCAGTTGTACAAGGGAATTGCTCATCTAGTAAAATGATGAAATACATGTAAGTGGGTAATGGTAAAAGAGCTCAGGGGCTAAAGGGGCTTACATCCAAGTCTGTGGGCCTGAGTTCAACCTCACGGTGAAAGGAGAGAACCAAGTCCTGGAAGTTGTCCTCTTCCATTTTTATAACATGCAACTGAATCCTCATGTACTAAATAGCTGAAATTCTCCAGCTGGTATAATGTGTTTCTCAAAGACTAATCAAGCCAACAATTTTCAAAGTAGAGAATAATACTTATAAAACTCCTGCTTAAATGTTAAAGAATCATCATTTTAATGTCTCTTCCATGAAATAAAAACCAACCTTCAGAACATGTCACTCTTCTCTCCTCAGGACTCTCTGTCCATACCTGCATATCCAGTTCCTGGCACCTTTGCTTCAGCTCTTCCTTCTCTGCTGTGGCTTCCTGAAGCTCTTCTAATGCCCTTTTAAGCTGAAACAGAAAACATCATTCTCAGTAAACTACATTTAGTGAATCAGAATGATAAATCCTTCTATCAACGTGTGTATACTGATATGAGAAATCGTGTTTAAAAATCATCTGTTAACTAATGAGCCTTCATGTGTTGCCTTAGTGTGACATTTCCATGATCTTACTAATAGTTAGATAAGGTCCCACAGAAATGAAATTTTATGAAAATTCTTGGTACATATTTTAAGTTATTAGAGATTATAATTTTTTAATTTCATTGCAGAAAATATATAAAAGTATGCTTATACTTAAACAAAATTTCTATCAAAAAATAAATCTGAAATACTCTTTAAGATATCTAATATTATCCCTGGTTGGGGGGTGGGGAGCCAGAGGCCTATAAAAGAAATACCTAAAAATGCATTTGGCCTCTCCTTTCACCCTCTCTCTTTCCCTGGACCACCCTCATCAGGTTACAGAAAGAGAGAAGTAAACTTTATCCTATGTAAAAAGTACTTCACAGGATCCTCACTCTTGGAGCTACTTCTTTAATCTCAACAAAAGGATTAAAATTGTGTGTGCGTGTGTGTGTGTTGTGTGTGTGTGTGTGTGTGTGTGTGTGTGTGTGTGTGTGTGTGTGTGTTGTGTGTATCAGTATTGAAACCATAATAAAAATTTTAGAGATTTAAAAAATTATCTACTGTTTAATAGTATAACCATACAGAATGGGCCACATAACTATTACAGGCCAACTGGAATATTTAGTGTCACTGACTCTTGGAACATGATCACAGAAAACACTACCGCTGTCACTACTTCCATACATTAGCAAACATGTATCGATATCCAAGTGGGATCTTACAGCAAGTCCCACGGAGGGATCACTGCACACGAGTTCACCCTTTGTGAAATAACTGGAAGGGGAACCATGTCACTGCTGTCAGCTCTCCTCACACAATGAAAATCTTACCTGCTGCTCTAATTCTCCAATGGTGTCACTTGCAGGAGAGCTCACGATTTCTTTACTCATCAACTAGGAAGTTAAAATAGCAAAGTTAAATACAATTGTGCAATCTTTATGAAAATCTATTTACCTGAAGTATTATAAATTGATTCATATTTAGCTTTCTCTTGTCTTAATTTAATGAACCTTAGAACATTAACCAGATAAAAACTTCATTAGAGGTAGAACCAAGTAAGAATGTTCAAGCATATTAATGATAAGATTAAGAATAAATTACAATCCAAGTTTTAGGAGACATTACTGATGATAAACACAAATACATTTTTTAAATAGGGGACTCTTTCATTTCTTCTCTCTTATTCTTTTTCTAGTCAGCATTCTCATGAGGTAGATTAAGCTTGTGATCCTTCTTCAAGAGCAAGGACTATAGGGTATACCATCATGCCTCTCTTAAACAATGACTCATATATCATAAATTAATGCTTTTCACCCAAGATTTATAACTGGAATTAAGAATCAATACTGAACCCTAAGAATTTGATATCCTTCTAGTATATCTGATGTAATAATAATCTTAAATTCTTAAATTCGGGTTATTTGACTCCAAAATCTAAGTGTTCACAAGTCTAAAGTTCTAAACGCACATGATACAGACACACTGAGGTTTCACCCTTCCTAATGCTGCTGCCCTTTAACACAGTTCTTTGTGTTGTGGTGACCCCAACCATAAATTTTCATTTCTACTTCATAACTGTAAATTTTTTTACTGTTATAAATTATAATGTAAATATCTGTGTTTCCCAATGGTCTTAGGCAACCCAAGGGCTCGCGCCCCACAGCTGAGAACTATTGCACTGGTGTCAGGAACATTGTCCTAGCTGGCAGGAAGAAGAGAGGAAATGGAACATCCCACAAGCAGTAGGGTTGAATACTTTGCTTTTATTAGTAGAGGGTATTGAAAAGAACCTTAAGAGACTGGGGACTTAGATCTGTGGAAGAGCATCTGCCTAGCCATCACTAGAAACTGGGTTCTATGCTGAACTCCAAATTAAAATAAAAGTACTTTAAAATATCAATTATCAGATGACTTATAGAATTAGAGGTTCTAAAGTTGGGCTTGAAGGCTTTTAACATTTTTTAACGGTTAAAAAAATTTACACAGTTTTACATAATTTGGTTCAGGGTTTTCATACGCATGTGAACGTAGTATCACTTACCTCCTGAATTGCAGTCATGACCACATGCTGAACAGATTCTTCCAGGGTCATTATATTTTTAATATGCTCTATAAACAAAAAATTAAGTTTGACATAAAATTTGTTCTATACAATTTAACTACCCAATAACCAAAGTGTGAAAATTAATTAAGCATAAATGATTCTTCATGCAATATACTACTTCACTAATATGTCCATTAAAAGCAAGATGAAAATTTTTACCTTTAGTAATTTAAATTTAGCCAAAGAAGAAACCCTTTAATTTTTCTAAGTAAAAGAAAAATAATACAAGTAACATTAAAACCATTGATAATAACTATCCAATTTTAGATCCAGAAATTATTGTTGTACTATCTGCATCTCAGGAAGGCTTTCAAAGGTATATGTGCAGCTTCCCACAACACCTGTTCAGCATCCACTAATTCTTGAGATGTTTAAAGCTTTCCAGACACATATAGGAAGTAAAGGTGATTCGTTCAGACAAGAAATGAGGAACCTTAATCAAAGAATGCCTCAAAGATGTGCAGACTTAAGTCCACTTCAACTATACGTTCTTCCCCCAACTACTGTCCTCAAATCCAATACTTCTGTGCTTTACTGATTCTTTTAGACACTCCTGTAAGCTCACCTACCACCCAGGCCCACAGCAGGGTCTTGGGTTGGCCCACCCTAACATCTACCCCACTTGATGGGGCTGGTAAAGGGACTGGTCCTATGGAATGACACCAGCAGGATCTGCAGGACTCAGAGTAGCCACAGGATATCCCAGAGTTTTGGTGAGGGTCCAGTGATGACTGTGTATCAGAAGAGGCCTTGAACCAGACCCACAGTGATTCATTTCAATGAACATTTGCTGGTAAAGCAGATTGGACAAAAGGGTATATACAAAAGGGTATATAAGTGACACACCACTCCCAATGCCACCAGGATGAATGAAGAGGTGTGGGGTTTTTTTGTTTGTTGTGTTCTTGTTTTTGTTTGCTTGCTTTGTTTTTTTTTTAATTTTCTTTTGGGGGGTGCTGCAGAAGTGAGGGGAGGATATGGGTGGACTGGGAGGTAAGTGGAATTAGGGTGCATGAAATTCCCAAAGAATCAATAAAGAAATTATGTTTAAAAAAATCTTCCCCTTTGAGAAGGGTATTACAATAACGAAGCCAGTCCTCCCTTCAAACCACAAATGTACAGAAGGTGTTTTATTCAACAACTTCATTTCTTGTATTTTTTGTTTTTGTTTTTCCTATTTTCATTCCTTCTGCAGCTCTGAGGATGGAATCCAGCTCTGCATATGACAGATGAGAGTTCTACTACTAAGCCACATCCTCAGCCCACTAGTAGTTTTTTATTTAACTATACAAACCTAATTGCTAACGCAGACACATATTTTGAAAGTGAAACTGTTTCTTTGTATGTACTGCTTACTAAACTTTCACTTATATCTCCAGGAACTGAATTTCCTTTCAAAACTATGAAGACAAGAATACTTAATAATGCTTAGGCCTAAATTACGAATGAGATAGTATGTTAAAATTTGCAGGATACAACAAAATCAACACTAGAGAAAATTGTAGCTTGGACTTTCAATCATGGCTTAAAATAAAAGCATGATGAATTTATAAGAAAATGGAAGAATGCAATACTAGAAATTAATAAATACTAAAATGAAATAGAATCAAAGCCAACGTTACTTCTCTGAAAATGAATCATGTCTGAAATTTTGGAAACATAAATTAGGGAAAAAATATGCTATAAATAACCAGAAACTAAAAAAGAAGTATTAATCAAAAAATAAAAGGAACCAAACTGTAACAAAAAGTACTAGATTTTAAAGCTCAATTATTCCTTTTCAAATTCTGAACAGCCAGGAACCTATATGAGTAAAAATTCTTACTTCTCACAAAAACAAACAAAAAAACCCCCACAATATATAGATCTTTACTGTCCCCTGGCACTAAATATAGAAAAAACAACTACGTGCCCTCTGAAAAAAGTAACTACTAAATACAGACACTAATAGGAAAGTTTTATGGTGTGTGTGTGTGTGTTTATAAACTTAAATTGAGTTTATGTTATTTTATATTTCTAGAGCTTGAACTTACTGAATTTATCTATCCTGTATCCTTTCTTGAAGATGAAGAAGTCTTTATGAAGGAAGTGCCCTAAGACCAAGCTTTGGTCAAACCACACAGAAGTAGTATCAAAGCTCTTCTCATCTAAGATACACAAGTCTCAGTGCGAAGGAGATTCAAGTCTACTCAGTTCACCATTTTTATGACAGTTTATGCTCAGTAGTACACAGATTACTATGCTTATATATACTAGTGTAATGCACCAGTTCCATTAATATGTGCACTACTCCACTTCTCAAAAACCAATAGTAGACAGGTTTCTTCTAAACAGCAGGTATTATTTGAAGAAGTTTAGATTATAATTAGCTGAATATTTTATTATGAAAAATTAAATGAACCTAAAATTCTACCTTATTAACTACCCAGTGTGTCCTAAACACCAGATATCAAACTATTTGAAGTAAATATGCTTAATTTAGCCACTGACCACCAGAATACAAGACACTCAAGAGCTGCAGCATATTAATGACAGGGAGGTCTAGAATTTAGATTTAGTTTATTGCAGGGTAATTTCAGCCACACAGTAGTAGGAAGATAACATCTTCCTGTAAAAGTCACCACTGAGGACTAGCAAAGTAGAATGTTTCTAGAAAGTGGGTCCCTCAAATGACCACAACTCACTTACCTTGCTTCCTTTCACAGTTGACCGCACAGCCTAGAATAAGCTGAAGCAACCTTCCAAGCTCCACAGGGTCTGAACACTCAGTTATTTGGTTTAAATCAGGGATAAGTTCTTCAGAAATCTGCTGCCCCAAAAACTGAAGAATCAAAATAATAAATTAGATCACTCAGTTAAGTAGTCTACAAAGAATTTTATTATTTAAAAAAAAATAATTTAAAGTAAGTTCATGAAAGAACTCAAATAAATTAAGATATGACAAGTCAGTAATATTGACAAAAACTAAGTAAGCAATATCCTGGCTACTCCGCAATATTCAGAGTCAATTGTATTTGGTTTTTATTTGACCTCACTATCAAAAACAAAAACAAAAACAAACAAACAAAAAAACAAAACAAGGATTTGTTAAGAAGGACCTAGGTTATCTTACTCTAACAAAAATGCTTTCCCAGTAAGTAGTAAACAGGATTATGCTAGCCCAAAATATAAAGGCAATATTATTAATAAAGGTAAAATTATTTATACAACCTGAAGAGAAGTCAGATTATCTGAAGAATATTTGTAATAGTACGTATCACTTAGAGTTACAACATAATCCACTGTACTTTTACAAATGAAAAACAAATCCAATGGATTTGACTTTTTCTGTCCCTTCCTTATTTTCTTGACACTTCTTATGAAGTTTCTAAGGATTCTGGATGCATAGAGCACCCAGAAAATTCTTATAGCAGTATTAAAACTTTTACAAGGAACTTTCAAGTTTATTTCCGTGACATTAAAAAACAGAAGAAAACTTCTTAAATAACAAAATCAGTTCAAAGGCCACCAATTATTATACAATAAATTCTATTTGTAAAAATAATTTAGAGTACCAAAATGAGAGCTATCTTTTCTTGCTTTTTTGGAAATCCAATGCATTTAAGCTTTAAACCTCACCATTTCCACAAAAATTCTGAGTGCTCTGAAAGTGGCAATATAATTATTGTAATTATGAATTTCATTACAATATAATGCTATAAACAAGAAGTCAAGCAACTACAATTTTTGTTTAAAATCAGGTATTTCTAGTACCTCATGATAATAACTTGTAATTCCATGGAGGACTTTCTTTAAGTTACTAGCCTAAAGTAGAAAAAAAAGAAAAAATAAATGCTTGTTTCATGTTAATAATGAAAGACATACACAAAGGCGAGAGACAATCACATTCCCAATAAAAAGAAAACATTATCAAATTCCTCACCAAGAAGAGAGAAAAATATGTAAGAAACCTAATAAAAAATTCAAAATACTCATATGAAATGAAAATATCAGAATTTATTATTATCAATACTGGAAATCATAATCATCCATGGAAACTTAGGGATGCCTCCCTATGTAACTGATGGGAAAATTAAATAGAACATACATAAAATATACACTGCACTATCAGCAAATTTGTCACAAGACATGTTTAGGGAATGAGGATGTATACTGCTTTCAGGTGCACTTGGAGCACTCACTAAGACACAATATATATGAGAAAGCAAGGCTGTCATCTGTCCCAAGAACCCATACAAAGGTGGGAAGGGAGATCAAACTTCCCAAACTTGTTCTCTGACCTCCACACACACGACGTAGCATGTGCACACTCCAAACACACAACATATGCACAATAATAATAAAATATTTTATAATGTATGGAATGTGTAAGACAGTGTTTAATATTAGGACAAAAATAGGACTAACAATTATTATTTAAACCTCTTCAAGAAGCAAGATAAAGAAGAGCATGTGTAAACAATAAAAAGAGAAGTAAATGAGGAAATCAATTAAATAAATAAAAATTTTTAAAATATAAAACTGAAAAATAAGCTAGATATTATTAAGGAAAAATATAAAAATTTCCAACATCAGAAAAGAATGGTAAGACATCATTACAGAAGGCTCAGTGATTAAGAACACTGGCTGCTCTTTTAGAGGTCTCTGATTCAATTCCCAGCATCCATGTGACTGCTTACAACTGGTTATAACTCCAGTTCCAGGGGACCTGATGCTCTCTTCTCGCCTCTGCATACATAAATGTCCATGGTACCCATACATGCAGATAAAACTCTCATACATACAAAATAATAAATTTAAAATATTATATATATACATTTGTTCATTAGCATAGTACTATAGTAGTACTATTAAAAACTATATGACATAAATTAAACATCCTTTATGAAACAAACACAGGTCCCACAAGTCACAAGAAACCCAAAAGAAGTAAAGGGACTTAAAAATAGAAAATTGTTTGCAGATAAAATTAAACACCACACACACACACACACACACACACACACACACACACACACACACACACACAATTTCCACCATGGAATTTTCTTCCAAAGAAATTAAGTAAAGATTCATGCATATAGTAAAGTCTAAGTAAAGATTTACTACTATAGCCTAAACTAAAAATAATACAAATATCCTACCAGATGAATAGCTAAACAAAAACTGCATATCAATGTAGTACACAACAATAAAGACATAATGATTAATACAGGCAACACAGATGAATCTCAAAATCATTATACTGAGTAACTGAAGTCTACATACACAAACAGTGCACTGTTTGGTTGCATTTATACAGAATTCTAGAAATCAGAACTCAAGTGACCCAAAGCAGACCCACAGCCATCAGAAGCCAGTCATTGGGTGAGGATTAACTGAAAAGAGACCAAAGTGTAAGTTCTAGGATGGCAGAAAAGCTTTGTAAATATACATGGTATTTATCTATGGGTAAACTCGGTCTCCTAGTTACTTTGTTATTGCATGATAACAGAAAAGCAAGCTGGGAGAAATCAGGGCAAGAACTCAAACAGCAGTAGTGGCAGAAACCTTGGAGGATAGCTGCTTAATGACTTGCTTTCAAGTCCACATCCATTCAGGCTGCTTTCTTAAACCTCCCAGGACCACCTGCCCAGGGGTGGCACTGCCCCCAGTGGGCCGTGCCTGCCCACATCAATCAACAATGAAGAAAAAGACCACCAGACATGCTTACAGGCCAATGCTTATGGAGGCATTTCCTTTTCAATTCAGTTTCTGTCCTTCAAGGTAACTCTAGTTTAAGTCAGGTTGACAAAAACTGACTGGCACAATATGTGTTAACTCAAATTGAAAAACGCACTCATGAATTAAACTTTTTAAAAAGCACTGAGTTGAGTTCAGTACCACTGTTAAGAGCTCTGCTTGCATCATGTGTTCTCTCCCCACATCCATTTCTGCATACCTTTATTCTCCAGTTGTCTCCAACATCATCTTTAATTCGGCTTAACCAAGAATCGTTGAACCAGGCTACGTCACTAAAAAATATAAAAGCTAAACTTTAGAATGATTTTGTAACATGAAAAACAAAACTGAATCAAGGTATAAAGTAGTTATAGTTCAAAATCCATCCTTAGTAAGATTAGCAGTAATTTAAATGAAGCCTTTAAATGTTTTGTGATTATGAAATTTTAATTTGGAATTTCCTTCCCACATTGTTATTTAAGACATTAGCAATCCCAATTAAACAAGCACTTAATAAATATTCTGCAGTAGGCATTCTGCTACCAAGCCTGAAAAAAGTACACAGAAATCCAATACTTTGAGGTGTCTACCATACATGGAGTGCTCAATCTGTGTGAGGTACTACTTCATTTAAATATCGTAGTAATTTGGCCAAGGATAAGCTATGCTCAATCTCCCTATTTAGGGAACAGAGGAAAGGGGCAAAGTAATTTGCCTCAGGTGACACTGGTACATGGCAAAACCTCAAATTAGTTTATTAGGTATGGTTAAATAAAATGTTTAAATGAAGAAATCTACAAAGCTAAATACTAAAAACATGTTTTCATTAGAAATAAAGCTCTATGTTAATACTGAAGATTGAGACAAACGAGTAACAAACAAAAATATGATGAATTTAATGGGGTTTTGAACATACAATATAGACAGAGCATATTAACAGACTATATTCTATTTGGAAGCCTTGTCTAAGGGGCTGAGCAAGATCAATATAAAAATTGACTACTCACTGACTTATAGAGAAATAGCTATTAAAGAAGTAAAGAGCACAAATAACTGAAAGACGAGGTGATAGACACTGAGGCCTAAGTCACCTTTGATCCCTTTGCAAGGCCTCAGGCTCTGAGACAAGTAGACTTGTACTTTACAGATAAACTAATATGGGGTGGGGGACCCTATCCCAGGCCAGATCTTGAAGGAAAAAAAAAAGGAGGAGGAGGAGGAGGATGAAAAGGAAACAGAAAGCAGAATATACTGCACTGTGAGAACTCAGATTTCTCTGCTCCAGCTGTTCTGGTACAGAGGGGGTCACTCTGGCTGGGGAAGCAAAATATGGCTTCCCCATTTTCAATTCATTTACTTAAGAGTTCCTAACTGCCCAATTTCTCCTGGTTGCTAAGATTACAGTTACAAAAACAATGTAGTTGAGTGCATGCTGCTAGCCAGGTGTTTATACAAAATGATTCAATGAGTCAAAATTGTCAAAAACTTTCTTTTAATATCAGAGATTAAGTAATATAACGTCCCAGGTATGGCAGGTGTGATGGGTAACTTTATCAGTCAACTTTTCTGGGTCACAATACCAAATATTTGGTCAATCACATCTAAATGCTGCTACAATGACACTTGTAGATACAACTTAGGTAAGCAGGTAAGGAGAGTAGATAACCCTGGGGAAAGTGAGTGGGCCTCTCCCAGTCAAAGGACTGAGGAGGAAGCCAGACTTCCCTGCAGGAAAGAGTAAATCTCAGCAGCAGACTTCTCTCTGACTCTGGTTCTCCACCCTGCTGACCTATTCTGCTCTGCAAGCCTGTACAGGTAAATGAACCAGTCCCTTAAAATAAACATACACACACTCACACACACCCCACTCTTGGTACTGCTACTCTGCAGCCCTGACTACTACACCAATCTCCTCACCGACCTTTCCCTCAAAAATAATCTAAGTTTAGCAGTCTATGCTGCTAATTACCTTCAAAAATTAAATCTACAGATTAACCTATTTTCATTACTTAGTTCTTCCCCAATTCCTCACCTCTTCTTAAAACTTTCTTATGTTTCTTTCCATTCCTATCAATTTTAGTCCTAAGAAATACTTCTTCTTTCTCCATAATATCCTTGATCCTGCCTTCTTACAAGCAAATTCACCCTTCTGGAAGAATTAACATTGAGCTAATCTTCCCACCAGTTAAACCTGATGTTCAACCTCAGAAACTTTGTACTTTTTTTTTTACACTGGCACATCATCTATATGACTTAAATTTTTATTTTTTTTCATTTATCAGAACTTGAATGACATTTAAAAAACACCAAAAAGAGAAGATGACAGGAGTTAATGAAGAAAAATACAATCCAATTATTTTCTAACAAAAACTAAGCAAAAATCATTACATTATGTTTAATTCCATCCAGGATGTGTCTTCAAAAATTTTAGCAGCTAACTGGAGGGAATAATTACATTTCTACTTACTAATAAAAATTGTATTGCCTTCGATCGATGCCCCAAGACTACTGTTGAATTAGAATCTATCAAAAGGACTTAAGGTACTGGATTTCTATTGTTACCATTGAATAAACACTGGCTTTGGAGTCAGACTAAATTAATACAAATCTCAGCCTTACAATTTTATTCATTGACTTCTAAAAGTAGCTCTCTACATCCTCACTCCTCATGGATAAACTGGACATAAAAATAATAAATAATACGGTGTAAAGAAAAAACTTAAATCAGGCATGAGAAGATGGCTCAGTGCATAAACACATGTGCTTGAGTTCAGATCTGTGGCGCCCATGTAAAAGTTCAGTGCATCAGTACACATCTATAACCCAGTGCTGGGTGTGAAGTGGGGGCAATCCTAGGAACTCACTGCCAATCAGGATAGCCAAAATGGTGAGCTCCAGGTCAGAGACTAGCCTGTTTCAAAACATGAGGTAGAGAATGAGAAAGGAAAATACACATCAACCTCTGGCTCCATAAGCACACAACAGACAACTGCACAAGCACAGACACACACATACAAATAAGCCATATAATGGGACCTATAATGATATATTTAGTAAGTACTCAGATACCGGCTAGTATGGTTTATCATCTCACTGCTCAAATACCTGCAAAATGAAAAATGAATGATAAAGGCTTAATATTTCAATTCTGTACCATACTTGTCTTTGCAAAAGACACTCAGTCAAAGACAATAAAAACCCGCATATATTATGTGGCTGGTCAACTGACAAAGTAGGGGGAGTGGATACATTCTTGGTAGCAGTATGGAGAACCACATTTTCCAAAAAGACATGTTTCAGTTTTAACTTTGTGCCTATAAACGTGACCTTGTTTGGAAAAGATCATATATTGATTTAGAATGAGTCCATAAGATTAGTGTCCTTAAAATGGAACAGATATGGCTGCAAACAGAGAAGCTAAGCAGAGGCACAGTGACCCTAGAAATGCCCAGGACTGCCAGAAACTGGAAAGGGCAAAGAAGATCCTCTCGCAGAAGCTCTGGAGTGAGGACAGCCCACCCAACAGCTTAATTTAGTCTTCTAACTACAGAAACTGTAAGAGAATAAAGTTTGGTTGGGTTAAGCTATTCAGCCTGTGGCATTATTACAGCAGCCCTAGAGAACTAACACAGTTATAGGTGCATCCCTCCCGCCCCAGTGCACAACTTCTTTTTCCACAACTGCACCTTCTACATGCATTTTTAAAGGAGTGCACATATTATATATCCAAGCTAAAGATAAGGAACTACAGAAGCCATCACTAAGTCAATGGATCCCCATGGCTAATCTTATAGTTTAAACAACTGTTTAAGATCTTATTATATAAATGTATACCTGCCTCAGATAAAATGATTATCTAAAATGCTGCCTTTTCTTTAAAAAGCAGAATTTATCTTCTCACCTTTATTAACAACTTCCATGTGATTTGGTATGAATCATCAGTAAAATTTATTATAAATGTTACCATATACAGTACTTTGAAACAGTCAAAGAAATATAATGAAATTAGTCTTTTTATTAGGATTATGATTCTTTGATCCAAATGAGTAAAACTTATTCTTGGAAGTCTTACTGGCCCACATACAAACTTCTAGAAAAGGTTTTAAAAAAACAAAATAAATGTTACTTAGATGATAAGGAGGTTAAAACATCAAAGAGTACAACAAAACAGGCAAATTAAAAGTGGGAGATTTTAGGGGGACAGGCAGACAGCGTGGACCTATTTTAGGTCACTGATCATTTGTTTAAGGAAGAAACCTTTCTTATTAAGTAACTTATTTTCCCTGAAATATAAAAGCTATCCAAAGACAATAACATGCACATGAACAAGGAAAGAGAGAGAGAGAGACAGAGGCAGAGACAGAAAGACAGAGAGAGCAAGAGAGTAAAAATCTGACGTGGAAAAGAAAGCTATGGAGACACTAGATATCATTTAGATAAAATGCACCTGGTGCTACTCCAAACTGCTGGCAAATCTGGGAGATCAAACAGCAACACACAACACACCAAGGAAAGACCCTATAGCATAAAGCCATTGAGCTCATCAAAACAAAGAGAAATGTCGTCTTTGGCAAAGTATGGTATCTCATGTCTATAACCCAAGCAGTCTAGAAGCTGAAGCAGGAGGACTGCTCCAAGCATGAGGCAGCCTGGAATACACAGTAAGTTCTAGATCAGTCTAGATTAGAGTGAAACTCTGAAAAAATTCAAAAAGGAAAAAGAAAAACAGGCCTAGTTTAGGGGCCAATGATGTCTTCACATAGTACTGTTAAGAAGTGAATGGATAGACATCTTTTATTCATACCAGCCAAAAAGTATTACAATGAAAGCAGCAAGATAGACATTCCATCATGGCATCCTCAAATCAAGAAGTACCATGTTGGCTTTGGTCAAGTAGATGGTTTTAAAACAAGATAAAAATGAAACAAATACTTTAAGAAAGTGGGGAAGTAAAGAGTATTTTTCAGTATCTGAAGAAATGTTAACATGTTTTGAGTTAAATCTGCATACTCAAATTAGATAATTTTGAAAATGCCAAGTCATTAAAATTTTAAAATAATCTCAATCTGTTTTTCTAGGAATGGCATAGAGATTCTTGTTGCTCTGTCTACAGAGTTTTTAAGTCAGTTTCATCTTTTCATCTTGTAGATGGTGGGAAGAAGTCAATTTAACAATCTCTGAATGGAGAACAATGAAGTCAAGATAGGATTCTGGTCTCTTTTTAAATAGTTATATTAAAAATTGCCGGGCGGTGGTGGCGCACGCCTTTAATCCCAGCACTCGGGAGGCAGAGTCAGGCGGATCTCTGTGAGTTCGAGGCCAGCCTGGGCTACCAAGTGAGTTCCAGGAAAGGCGCAAAGCTACACAGAGAAACCCTGTCTCGAAAAACCAAAAAAAAAAAAAAAAAAAAAAAAAAAAATTCTTCCATCTATTATTTGTTAATATTTGTCAACCAAATTCCAAGGATTAAGATTGTAGTCTACAATATAAACTGTATCCTCAATAGTATAAATGGCTGATTCTGAACTCACAATTTTTAAATAATGTTTAGTGTATATTAACATACCCAAGGCCAGAATCTTAACTACTCAAGTCTTATCCATGCTTTGTAACTTCAAAGTCCATTAACTCAACATGATTATTGGTGGACTCACAAATTACTATTATTTCAAAATTAGATTTTTAATATAGTTCTTTTTCTAAATCATACCTACTGTGTTAACAGTCTCTAAGACTCTCTATATAAAGAACCGTCAAAAGAACAACCCACATCTGTAGGAAATGCATGTAAGTATATCATTCATTTATCCCTTTCTCCTTGAAGGATATATGAATGTTTATCAACCATTTGGCTAAAATAAGTTTTTATAAACAATCAAGGAATCATGAGGTGGTAAAATGTTCTTGTTCCCTGGTTGCAAGAATGCCTTGGTGCTGTATGTCTGACTATGTCTACTGGACAGGATGAAATTTCAATCACCTTTTTATGAGTGTTCTAGCTGCTATTGGGTTTACATTCTTATGAGGAATACTTCAGTCACTACTCACATTTGATGAAGAACTTGTGCCATGGTCACTCCATTAGTCAGCTGTTTGACATCTTGACAGGGTGAGGCAGTCTTGAATGTCTGCAGCTAAAATGACACAAATCACTTTACTGTTGTACTATCCCTAATAAAATAAATAATAGAAAGCAATTAAAATTGATTTTATTTTGTTTAAGTACAGATGGAAGACTCTATTTCTATAGCTGTGTAAAATTTGTATAAAATAAACACATTTTTACCTAAAATCAAGCCTAATATAGTAAACCACAGTGGTGCTATATATTAAATTATTCAGCATTTCTGAATAATACAAACTCTCAGATGTATCTACTGTAAGGAGAGCATCAGAGAAAGAACTTCAAGATAACTGAACAATTACTAGTTAAAATGTCACTGAAGTTTCTTGATAGGAAAAGAAGAGGTAGAAGTGTTAGTTCTGAAACTACTTATACCATATGAATGAGTTCTGAAAGAAACCAGGACTATCCAACAATTAGCCATAGAGCACAGACAGCTGAGCTATTTCAATCTAGGATGGCTTCAGCTATTGCTAACATTTCAGATCTTGATTTTAAAACTGTTTAGGAGGCCGACAAGATGGCGCTGCTGCTAAGTCTGATGGCCTGTGTGCAATCTCCAGAACTCACATGGCAGAAGGACAGAAACAACTCCTGCAAGTTGTTCTCTGACCTCCACACTCCAGCCGCAGCATATGTGCAAACAATTACACAAACACAATAAAGTAATTAGTAAATTAATGTAATTTTTAAAATTTCATGTGCACTTTAAGAGAGAAGTAGGATAATGACATCTTTTTCAAAACAGCAAATCCAAGATAAGAAAAATTTTATAAAGCAAAGTAAAAGCTAAAATAGATCATATAAATTTATAGAAATCTAACCTCTACCCATACTTAAATGAATTATGATTTTCTTTTTCTATACATATTTATTCCCTTCATTATTCACTTACTATCCCCAAGTTTACCAATTAACTATCAAAGTCCATAGACTTCTGTTCCAGGATAACTCACTATGATTTTGTGCATTTTGAGATCGACAAATCTGTCCCTGTTTTTTCTAATACAAAAGAGAGATGAATGGGAAGACTAAAGCTAGCTATTACTGCTTTTAAATCCCATGACGATACTTTCTTGAGCTCCTACTTGATGTGGGGCACTGTGGTACAAGATGAGTTACAAAGGCAAATCACCAGGTTCTCCCTCAAAGCTGCTATCATTAAAAATTACAAAAAAAAGAAAATGACACATGTCATGTTGAGACAACTTGATTAGTTCATATTCATAATACACATGAATTAATTTAATTAAAATTTGTAATTTAGAAAAGCCTTCTTGTAGAAAGTTCCTAGATGGGAGGGCTTGAGGGTTAAACAGCAAAACTTTGAAGTCAAGGGCCAGAGGAAGGAGCCCTCGGGAAATATGAATATTTTTATCATACACAGATAATAGAAAACATGACATTTTTAAGGAGCATGCATTTAAGTATCACTGGATTGTCAGTACAAAGGAGGATGGAGGAAGAGAAAAGACTGCCAACCAAGGGTAACGAAGAGACAGGCAGGGGTTAGGATGTTGAAGGACTGACGAACCCTCGGACTACATTTCATCCTGAGCAAAACCGTCTATGTAATGGGAGCAACTGGAAAAGTCTCTACCACAGAAGACAGTTAGGAGAAGACAGTGAAGGAGGGTGCACAATCACATCAGCATCTGCACATGGTTATGTGCTCAATGGTTACTAGACAATCTGGACTAAAAAGTCAAGTTTTCCTGAAGTGTAACAATACCTGTTCACTTGAAAATACATGTTCAAATCTCCAATAAGTCAGAAAGTTCACAATGGTTCTTGTACATGTTGGCTTTAGTGAAATAAGGAATCACAAAGGAGTGGTAGGGAAGAGAGAGATGCATTACAGATACAGAATATCACATGTTAGTCGGGCGGTGGTGGCGCACGCCTTTAATCCCAGCACTCGGGAGGCAGAGCCAGGCGGATCTCTGTGAGTTCACGGCCAGCCTGGGCTACCAAGTAAGTTCCAGGAAAGGCACAAAGCTACACAGAGAAACCCTGTTTCAAAAAACAAAAACAAAAAAAAAGTACGCAGAATATCACGTGTGCTTGTGTACAGGAGATGAGTTAGGAGGTTCCTGCAACCATCCTGTCTATAAAATGGACAGTACCAAGACACGTATAATGTGAACTCAGAATACAGAAGAAATGGGTTATATGAGATGTGAAACAAGAATTTTACAACTGGGTGGATACACAGGGAAGAGAAATTACAGTATCTTTAAAAGGAAAACATTGTAGCTACCATTTGCCAACATTTCCTATTTACATGCTAACTTTTCATATACAACTCAAAGACATATCATCAACATTTACAACATGGGTATGATTAGTGGCTTTAAAAGATCCACTTCAGAATATTAGGCAGAACAATCCTGGTAGGAGTCAGTGAGATGGCTCAGCAGTAAAAAAAAGCACTTGCTATCAACCTTGACTGAGTTCAATTCCTGGAACTCACATGGAGAAGAAGCTCCTTCAAGTTGCCCCATCTCCACATGTGCAATAACTGAACTTAAGAAGTTTGAAAAAGCAATGTAGACATACACATACGGTGAATCTACGAAATGCACTATGTTTAAAGCAACTTCTCCTCTTAACTGCAGATGGAAGTAGGTAACAGAATGTGATTTCACTTGGGTAAATTGAAAGGCTTTATAACCAAGAACAACAACTTTTCTTTAAAAATGAGACTGGCAAGATGGCTCAGTGTTAGGAGCCTTGCTGCTCTTCCATAGGAATAGGATTCAATTCCCATCACCCACATGGCAGCTCACAACCATCTTTTAACTCCAGTCTGAGAGGATACAATACCCATTTCTGGCCCCCGCCTTGGGCGCTAGGCATGCATGTAGTACATGTACATATGTGCGCATGTATGTGCACACGTGCGGGCGTGCGCGCGCGCGCACTCACACACACACACACACACAAACACAGAAATATTCAACACACACAGAAATATTCATACACATAAAAATAAATAAAATCTCAAAATATAATTTGATCAGCAATTTTCTCAGACTGCACATATATGTGCTTTTACTCTTTACCTGTTGAAGTTATAGCAAAAAAAAAAAAAGAATTATTAAAATTATCAGGCCCAATACCCTTAGCTATTGGTGAAAGTTTAATTCAAAAGTATTAAAAAAAAAAAAAAGACCTCACAACACTACAAATCAGAATGAAATTGGAAAACATTTCTTCAAACTTTACACATTCTTTCTCTTAGGTAAATTACACTATTTTTCTCTTTGACTTTGTATTTTCTAAGTGGCAATACATTCTAAGAATTATTTAAAAGAAACATCCAAATCATAAAATCTACCGCCGGGCGGTGGTGGCGCACGCCTTTAATCCCAGCACTCGGGAGGCAGAGCCAGGCGGATCTCTGTGAGTTCGAGGCCAGCCTGGGCTACCAAGTGAGTTCCAGGAAAGGCGCAAAGCTACACAGAGAAACCCTGTCTCAAAAAACAAAAACAAAAACAAATCATAAAATCTACCACTTAAAAAGTTACCAAAGAGACAGCCTTCACCTAGCCAGCTTCTCTTGATACTTCTGCTTCAGGTAAGACCTATCCCTGCTGTAAAAAGAGACAGCCTTCACCTAGTCAGCTTCTCTTGATACTTCTGCTTCAGGTAAGACCCATCCCTGTTGTAAAAAGCAGCACTACTTCCAGCCATCTTCTACCGGCACGGCTTGTCCCCACCGCAAGTTGTTTTTTTTTTTTTTTTTTTTTTTTTCCTTCAATCTTATAAACAGTGCTAGCTCTTCTCAAACACAAAATTACCTAGCATATTTGGGAACACCTTCCGAACCAAGGACAATCCCACAAATGTGTATTTTCTACTACTACCCTTAAGGCTATAGACAAAAGAGTTCATGTGTATTAATTACTACTAACGGCTCTTCCCTGAGTTTGGAATGCATTCCCTATGATTTCTACTCCTTGAAATCATGATGCAACTAAAAAACCAGAACGAGAAGTCTATACTAGTTAAAGGTGGAATACCATTCTTAGAGGGCAGAGGCAAGACAACTCTAGTTTGATCTAATATATTGAGATCCTAGTGAGTATTCTTCCTTTTAGGGTCACAGCAAAAGCAGATCAGGCAAGAGTTCTGTTGCCAAGTAGTCAACTACAAGATAATTTCAGAAAGGCCTGTCGGTCATAGTGAGTTCAAGGCTAACCTGGGCATCTTCAACTATGTATTATGTAGAAAGGAGGTTGAGGATACAGCTACATTGGGCAGAGCACTTGCGGAGACCCCTCCTTCAATTGGGGGGAAGGGCAGCAGAAGCAGCAAAGAAAAATAAATGATAAAACAATGTTCTAGAAGAGTTAGAAGGAATAGGTTTTAAAGCTAGACCCAAAGATAAGAAGGTAGTCTTTTGCCTAAAAGCCAAGATTCACCTCAAAGTAGAGCAAAGTAGTATGTGCATGAAGCTTCCTAAGGAGTAGAACTACAAGGTTATTCTCAATCACTGAGCTGGGCAGTGTTAGGGAGAAATGTGCATCTGGCCGTAACAGCCTGACACAAGACAGTAACCGTCTGTCAGTCATTCATTTTTCTCCAGTGTACAGCAGCCTGGGGGAGCACTGCAGAAGCCAAATGGCAACCAAGCCATCCTCTGTAATTCTTTATTTGGTTCACATTTTTTCAGATCTTGGGGAGTTTTGCCTTCCTTTGTAGTTACACATGGCTCTAAACTGGTTCCTGAGAGCCGAGCACAAAGTAGGAAGTTAATAAATACTGCTTTAAGAATGGATATGATCATAATATTTTAAAATACTGCAGTACGGTTTAAGAAAATCTTGTACTTGTGTTGACCTGATAGGGAAGTCCGTGACATCATAAAGAACCCAGCTTACCATTTCAGTCATGGTCAGAGCACAAAACTAGAGGCCTGGACACACCCTATGATTAGCCATTTGTTTTTAAACAAAGCAGATCATTAAAAGTAATACTGCCTTCTCTCTTGACAATCCTAAATAGAATAGCTAAACCTAAATGCTAATTTAAATGAACATGCAGACTGACAATGAGCTAAAATGCTTTTAAACCCTGAAATCCCAGCTACTGGCATTCTACTTAAAACTTGTCATTTAAGTTCAAAGTGCAAACGTTACTTCATTATTTCAAACACTCCCAGAGATCTTTTCCATTTGTCCTTTGGATTTACTCGCATTAGGAGATGGCTAGGCAATCTCTTGGAGAATGTAATCCTCCTGATCCAGTCTACTTACATTCCGGTCTGACAGACTGCCCTCCACAAAACTACACAACTGGGTTGAGCTGTGAATCATCAACAGTAGTTTGTGGGACGTCAAGTATTATCCTAGCACAATAAAGGGTAAGGAATCACACCTGGATGCCAGTTCTAGGCAATTTCAACAAGTTAGAAACCATTTTACCCATTGGAATAGTGGAAAAATCTGAGGACAGAGTCGGTCCCAAGCCTGCACCAATGAATCCTGCATATGCATCAAGCGTAAACAAACAAAAATGCCAATTATTTTTTAACTTTAAAAAAGAAAAGGTATTAAGAAGGGACGGGGAGGCAGAGAGAAAAAAAAGAAAAGAAAGAAAAAGAGCTCCGACATCAAAGGCAGGTTGGCCATCTCTCTTCAGCTGTCCTTATGCCATGGGTGCTGTGTGGGCCCAAAGGGACAGCAAGCTGGGAACCGAGGTGGCCAGCGCCTCCTAACCACCTGTGCGCGGTGGGGCGCTGTGGCTAGACGGAGAGCCCGGGCTCGGACAGGCTGCGGAGCAGGTGGACGTGGCAGCCGCAGGTCCCCGAGCTCAGCCCGCCCCGCGGGTGGCCTCGCCAGCAAGCTCGGACCACACTCACCCAGATGATGAGGCTGTCACACAGCGGCAGCTCGGGCTGTGGCAGCGGCTGCGGGTCCTCCATGGTCCGGGAACCTCGACGCCGCGCTCTCAGCGACGGACGCACCTCCGCCCGGGCCCGCGTCAACGACCTACGCGCCCGCCACCGGAGCTTGGCCGTCAGGCCTGGCGCCCGCGCCGCTCACGCGCGAAGCCTCACGCCGCCGACGTCGCGGCGCGACCGCCCCCCTCGCCCACCGCGTCCGTCCCGTGCCACGGCACCTGAGCCAGCCCCGCCCGCCGATCGCACACCGCGCGCTGAGTGACCTCCGCGAGCACCAGTCACAAAGAAGCTGGGCGCCCGCGAGGCCGGCAGGGCGGGAGGAGCGGGAATAGGTCGCGCAGAAGGGCTGCTGATTGGACACGCTCCAGGGGACTCTTGGCCAATCAAGGAGGGGCCAGCCCGGGGGGCGGCCGAGAGGAGTGGGAGTGGGTGGGTGGAGGTTTATGACCTGGCAGGTGCAGGGAGGGCGGGGCTGGGTGGGGGAAGAAGAGCGCGCCTGCGCGGGCTGGGGTGGCCAAAGGGTAGTAGTAGTGGGCGGCTCAAGGTGCAGCCCTCCCTCTGTCCTGGTTAGCACCTGTGCAGATCCGCGCTCAGCTGCCAGCGCCCTCACAGGTCCCACGAGAGCACTGGTGGAGTGAAACCCCCAGAGGAAGGAGGAACCGCTTTCCTCCTGGGCCTTCTTTGGGAAGAAATGTTTGAATTTGAAGACATGACCAAGAAAGGTGTTTCCTTAGGAAAATACAGACCCTCCACGCTGGCAAAGAAGTGCTCACAGAATCACAGGTTGTGACTGATTTCATTTTAAATGGGGCAACGGGGAAAGCCATTTTCAGATAGCGTAATGAAATAGCGTTCAAAAAGCATAGGTGGTATCTGTGTACCCTGCCCCCTCTTTTTGGGTTCACTGAGAATGTTGGTGGCATGCCAACGAGATAGCTTGTGTCTTTATTGGAAGGGAGTAGAATATTCTTGCTCTTGGTTCTCACCTCTTCATTTATTCATTAATCCAGCAGCCCATATTCTGAATTAAGCTAGTGGCTCATTTAAATCACGGTGATTTTTATATTTAGACATGGAACAAAACTGTTGGATGATAAATTATAAGCCCCCAATATAAATCAGTCTCATTTTAAAAATACAGTGTGGGCGTTTGTTGACTCCCTTGATGCTATCTCAGAACTTTTGTAAAGTGTTTTGAGTTGCTTTAATATTCTGGGCACTGTAAACAGTAATGTAACTTCATAAAAACTATAGGCTGTAAGAATTGAAGAGTCGGTATTGTGAGTCTCCCCCCAAACCGCGCACCCACTGTTACTCTCAGCTTTATCTTATGGTAGAGACCCTAGCCTCCACGTTCCTAGAGATCACTCTAGTTAAAATATAAACATCCATTGTGAAGATAATGTAAATTGCAAACTGTAAACTTTGCAATATGAATTACTATAACCATACATCCTTAGAATCATGTGAGGACACATATGGCTGAGAACCACAGATGAGTGAGCTATTAAAATATTTAAAGAGAATCACCAGGGAAGGGGCTATGCTACTGGACTTCAGATAAATAGAAAATTTATCAAGGAAAGAATGACCACTTAAATTCATTGTGAGCGACCATTTAAATTCATTGGTGAATTAAGAAAGGAAAAAATATTTCAAATTTGAAAAGTTAGAAAAACGTATCACTGAAATACAACAATAAAAGACGAACTGACACATGTGAAATGAATATACATTAAAAAGTTAGTAAAAATTGATATATTTATCAAGAAAGATTAAAGAGGTATTTTTACTTTTGTTCCCGTGTGTCTGCAACATGTGTGGAGGTTCCCTTAGAGGCCAGAAGAGGGCATCAAGTCTCCCGGAGCTGGAGTTACAAGCACTTTTGAGTGACCTACTATAGGTGCCAGGAACAGAACTCTAGTCCTCTGCAAGAACAGCAAGTGCCCTTAACTCTGAGTCATCTCTCCAACCCCGAGGATCTTTAAAATATCTTTATCTTCTAAACCCATAATTCCATTTCTAGAATAATTCCATAATTCCATTTGTGAAATCACAAATTCAGTTATAGACTGAACTGATATGTATTGTAAATCAATTACAAGTATTGATCGATCAATTATAAGTCAATTATAATATAACATAATATAATCAAGTATAATATAACATTGGTTAATGACAAGTATTAATTACTAGTCCATTAAGCAACAATATTATAGAAGAGTCATATCTAATAAAAATAGCACTGGGAGAATATTTGATAATAGAAAAAAGGTTTTATAATGAATAATTTATTATAGTTAATTTACATTAAATGTGATTTTATATATAAAATAATTAGCAATAAGGCATCAATCTTATAAATATTATATATGTATTTTAGTATGTATATGGTAAACTATTCTGTTTATATGTAAAATAATTATATTCTATGTGTTTTTATGTTTCTGTAATTAGCTTGTACTAATTTATAAGGATAGAACAATAGAAGAAATACCTAATACAGCATGAGCTATTATTTTGAGTTATCAACTTGTTATTGATTTTTGTTAAGTTAAAGTACAAGTTTGTACAGTGGATAAAATTAATTTTAAAACAATGAAAAAATGTTTCTAAAGTATAAATTGGCACAATCTTTCTGAAAAACGTTGTAATTCAAAAGATTATAAAATTTTCAAAGCTATAGTTTCAATTTCAGACTCTACTCTTAGTAATCAGGTTTCAGTGACACTTATCAACATTCTAAAGGGGCAATATAAAATATTTATAAGAAGAGTGATTAACATCATATATCTTTCTGTTAAAGCATTTAAACTAAACTTAGTTATTCAAAGGAAATGTGATAATTGAATCTGGTGTAGGGCCTCATTATGTACAAAGATCCCTATTTGTTTGTGTATTGTGTATGCATATATCCATATGAGTGAGATAGATAGATGGGGGAGGGGTAGGAATAAAAGGAAAAAAATGAATAAAGAAAATAGATGAAAACGTTAATAGTGATGATTTGGCATGTTCATGTGCTAGAATAATGGGTGAATTTTATCATCTTTTTACTTAATATTCTCATAAAAGTATATAAAATTCAAAATTATTAAAAATTCTAACTATGGTAAGGCACTCAACTGTGGAAGAATGTACATACACATTCACCTATGTATCTATACAGAAAGTAATTGAAAAGAGAATTGTTTAGAAATTCACTCTGACTTTTGTGTGCTGGAGACTTGATACCTTTTATTACTGCTTGAGCACTCTTCAGCAAGTTACTTAATTTCATTGTCTCAATTTTAGTCTCTGTGAACTAGAACATTGTTTCTATATTATTTGAGAATTTCTGGTGGTAAGTTGGAGGCATATTTTTAATGTTGTTGGAAGGAAATAGGACAGTCACCATTTCAAAGGAAGAGCTGAAAAATCCAACATGGGAAGGTTAGCTCCTCAGATCTCAGTAGCAAAAAGAATGGGGGACTTATTTTAGGGCTCTCCAAATGGAATAAGTTTAGTAAAATGTTTGCTCACTCTTTCTGGGAGTCATGTTCAAGATTCAAATTTTATGTAAATCGTCTAATTGCTTAGGTTAGGATATGTACCTAAGCCTTTGCCAGAAAAAGGTAGTTCTCTTAGATGAGCTGATCCAGTAAGACTTCAGAATCAAGATGAATCAGGGGTCAGTAGAAAAGAATGGATATGTACAAGACAAAAACAGCTCTTATGAGCTGGTAGAGTTGTGATAAGGCCCAAATTCATGTACTATATTTGATGAAAATCCTGGCTCATCACATGTATTCAGTCCATCATTGAGATTTACCTACTACCAATGAGACAGTCTTGAACAGAATTCATGTGGATATTAAGTGGTGACAGTCTGTAGATGGAAGTTTTCTGTGTCCTGCCCAGTCCCGCAGCCGCTCAGACCCAAATAAACATACAGAGACTTATATTATTTTTAAACTATGGCCATGGTAAGCTTCTTGCTAGCTAGCTCTTATATCTTAAATTAACCCATTTCTATAAATCTATACTTTGCCACCTGGCTTATGGCTCATTGGTACCTTTACATCTTGCTTCTCTTAGTGGCAGCTAGCAGCATCTGCCCCATTCTCCTTTCTTCTCTCCTATCTCTCTTGGATTTTCCTGCCTGGCTCTATCCTGCCCTGCCATAGGCCAATGTAGCTTTATTTATCAACCAATCAGCACAACACATATTCACAGCATACAGAAAGACATTCCACAGCAGGGAGCCAAGGGTGTGTGTTCCTTCACTCAAACCAGGAAGGGTTGTACCCATTTATTCACACTGGCAGGAACCGTTGCCTGCTGTAAAATCAGTGCTCACTGGGGAGCAAGATGGGACAGGGGGAATTTTGCTCTGTGACTTTTGTAGATAATGTTTGAGATTTTTATGTCACCTATACAGCTTCCTTTTAATGCATTTTTGCTCAGTGCTTGCCATTGATACTGTCTCCAGTTCCTTGGACTGGCCAAAGAAAGTTCTAAGATTTCCATGCAAATTTCAAGCCAACTGCAAACTCCCAGTACTGGTAAAGGCAGCTCTGCCATTGGCAAATGAACATCAACAGAGCAGGGATCTAAAACGACAATGTATGGGAAAAGATTAACTTCTAAAAATTTTGTTATAGCTTCCTTTTTTAAGAAGTGTCTTCTGGAAAACAGAGTCTGAGATTAGCATGCAGCTCTGTTAAATGTTTTTGCCTAACAGTCTGAGAAAGAAACCACACAAAGTTGGGCAGAGAGTGAAACAGGCTGTGGTACAGTCCCAGTGAAGGCTACACCTGATCCAGACTTAGCTGGAATTGTTCTTCCAAGTCGTCCTGAGTTTAAATGAAGATTGATCAGTTGGTGGGTGGGCTGTCCTGGAAAGGTAGCCTCACAGCCGAGATGATCTTAAAGACTGCTACTGCTGCTGCTGCTCCTGTTAGCACTTCCAGGTGTGGCGATATCCAAGGACATCCCAGTGTTCTCAGCACAGTGGTGGTGGGTGAGAATAGAAGTGTCCATTACTCAGACTGGTTTTAGGAAAGGGAAGGACAAGTGACCATAAGTGTGCCAGTAAATTACCATAAATACAAAGTTAAAGTAGCCACAGAAGAAGAATGTTAACATGCTCAGTTCTTAGGTTGATATGATTCAAAACCAGACAGTGACTGTAGCCATAATCATGTTTCACATAGGGGGGTTATGTGAAATATGTACATAAATGATGATTTGGAGAATTTAAGACTGAACTACTTACTAAAATAAAATAAC